CTATTCTTCACTATAGCATATAAGGCTGGGATGTGATGGTTTCGCTTTATTGGGTCGCGTTTATAAATGAGAGTGTCAAAGACATCATAAATTCTGACTTGCAAGTTAAAATGTTCAAACACCTTAGCCATGTCTGTTATTGACACCCCTTTTGTCTTGAAATCTTCTTCCGTCTTGTTTATGATCTTTAGGATGGCTTCTTTTGTTAGTTTGTTCTTCTCTCTCTTGTGATCTCCCATAAGGGTATCCTTATAATAATCCGTCAAGGTGTTGAACCAACACTCGTTCTTAACATAATGATCTACTTTAATGGCTTCCTTAAAGGTCTCATGCTGTGGATCTAAGGGTGTTTGAATATATCTGTGATACATACTGACATTCTCTGTGTTTGTTAGTTCTTCGTCTTGTGGCTTGAAAGCATCGGCGTTATCTACCCTTTCGGCATAATTAACTTTAATACAAGCAATGTAACCTTCAGCATAACCGACATCGGCTTAAAAACTGTCATCGGTCATTAATAACATCTTGAGCCTATGAAATGTTTTTGTGTCGGGCTTCTCGTCTCTAAATATTCGTCTCCTCGTCAAGTTTTCTACCCACGGTGTTGTGGCTACATTGGCTGACAGATCACGCATATAAATAGGAACGTATGCCCTACCCCTGCTGTCTCTGAAAGATACTGATAAGCCCTGATGCGATTCTGTCTTCAATTGGTATAAATGGACATTGATTGAATATTTTCTTGGTTTTCTCGGGTTGGTTCTTCCCGTTCGTTTGTTGTCTTCTTTTGCTTGGGTCATTCTTTGACCTAGTTGTTCTTTATCCTTGTGCTTGTCGTATATTTTATTATATTCTTTTTCCACTTTAGTTTTTTCTTTGTCTGTTTTTGCTGTGGTGAGTTTCCTGATTAAACTGTCTGCTGTGGTGAATTGGGCGATCTTACGATCTGAATATAAGCTAATTATATTTTGAACTTTTGTTCTGGTGGCTTGGCTGATGCGGTTTCTTCTGTTGTTATAAAATGTTTGTAGTGCTTCCGTATTACGCTTAACGGCTTTGGACATATACTAATATAATTAAACTATATATTTATTTTCTTTTTAAGTATAATTTTTCCAAGGATTTTTTAAAATACTAAATGTTTTTTTTAATATATAGAAATATGTCTAAAGATAAAAAATAATATATAGTATAGTATAATATGAGTAAAAATCCCGAGGATATGACAATGGATGAAATCAAAGAGCAACTCGCCATATACAGCAGATTGTATTACAACAAGCGTAGGAATGATGAAAAGTATATGCAAAAGAAACGAGAATCTGCACTGCGACACAATCAGAGAAAGAAGATCAAGGAGTACGAAGAAGCTAACAATATCAAACTGAACCCAGATGAGATGACAGAAGAACTGCTATCTGAAATAATGAATGCAAAAAAGCCCTTTAAAACAAAGCGCGGCACACCCAAATATGATATGAGCAAGTTCAAGATCATAATGCCGATGTCCGAATGATGATTTAATTTAGTTATTAAATCATTATTTTCTTTTGTTTTTATATGAGTGAGAAGCAAAAAATTATTAATGATGTGTATTTTGATCGCGCGGGGTTTGGTTCAAAAAGCCGGACTTTAGAAGAAGCACGGGAGAAAGACAAAACAATCACAATGTCTGATATCAATGAGTTTTTTAGGAAGAATGTTGATCAAAAGCGAAAGCCCGTCGGTTCAAATAGCTTTGTCGCCCCGCATTCAGCATATGAGTATCAGATGGATTTATTTTTTATCAACGACTTGAAAGATCAAAAATTTAGAGTAGGGATGTTAATGATTGATATATTTGATAAGTTTATGCATGTCGTGGCAATTAAAGGTAAGAAGGAAGAAGATTTGGCTAGTGGGATGATTGAGTGCTTAAATAAGATGGGAAAGAAACCAAAAATAATTTATACCGACGACGAGGGAGCAATGAACAAGGAGGCAATACAAAAGTATTTGAAGGATGAGAAAATAGAACATCACAGAACTAGGGCGCATCCGAATTTCAGCGAGAGGGCAATTAGGACGTTCAAAGATTTATTATATCGTCGTGTTGAAGCCGATCAGAAAAAGGGTAAAAACAATATTCAGTGGCCGGATTATATTTTTGAAATATTATTAACATATAACAATAAAATGAAACATTCGGCGACTGGCTTCACCCCAAAGGATGCGAGAAAACCGAGCAACGAATTAAAAGTTAAACTGCATTTAAATATGAATGCTAAACGAAATCGGATATATCCTGAAGTAAGTGTTGGTGATGAAGTTAAAATATTTAGGAAGAGGAAACCCAATGAAAAAGAGAGAGTGGGCAATTTTAGCAAACAAATTTATACCATAGAAAGAATTGATGAAGAATTGGGTCAAAAACATTATTATGTTGAAGGAAATGATAGAGCGTATTTACGCTTTGAGTTGTTTAAGGCTTGAGGGTTGATCCGAAAGTCCAATATTTAACTCGTTTGCGGTATTACAACCCTGTCAAGAGTCCCAACCAGTCCCCCAACAAAAACAACAATCCACAAGAGGCGTAACACAAGCCACGAGCAGGGACAAGCAAGTCACACAATCACAAGACAAGAACATCACAACAACCCTGAAAGACCCCCCCCCTGAATTCGAAGCCCTCCTAAAGTAAACTCTCCGTTAAAAACCCTTCCTAGCCTACCCCTCCCCCAAAAAAAAGAGCGAGTAGTCACAGTCTGTGGTGACAGTCGTGGTGATCTCCTTCAGGGGGCGAAAGTGGCGGGGTTCGTTCCAGGTTAGGGTTACGGGTTACGGTTTAGGATTTTCAGTGTCAGGGTTTAGGGTTCAGGGTTAGGGTTAGGGTTTGGGCCCGGTTTGGGGTTTGGGTTTAGAGTTTGGGATTTAGGGTTAACATAGGGTTTAAGGTCAGGGTTCCGGGTTAGGGTTGAATTGCAGAATGATTTCACTGAGCGCTCTCGGGCTGGATGTTTGCGTCCCATTCTGGGAGCTGTGTTCAGGGCAGCCTTTAGCAAATAGTTTGACGTATTGAGTTGTGCCACATGACTTAGGACCTAAGATAGCTTTGCAATAACGAGGAGTAGCTCTGAAAAACCTTGGGGTAGCTAGGAAATACCTCACGGTCACAACCCAAATTCTGTGGGCAAAAGCCTCACAAATCATCATCATGTTGTTTTCGCCCCCCCGAATCCTTCGGAAACGGAGACTCTGGGGCAGTAGCCGGTGCAGAAGCAGACTGCGTTGGCGGAACAACTGGTGAAACCATCAGGCCCTTAGGAATGACTGGAAGCCCCGAGCGCCAGTCTGCATGATTCACGATCACGCTGGAGACAACATAGGCAAGCCCACCAATGAAGGCACTCTGCACGCTCAACATCACTCTCGAAGCCGAGACAGGCAGTCATGGACTGTCTACAGCCAAGTGCGCTTCTCGTGGCGGAAGAGGAGCATACGCGGAGGGGCAGCAGAGGCAGGGGCAGCAGAGGCTGAGGCAGCCTCCCACACACAAGACAATGCACCAAAGTCCTGTTGTAAGGAAGACAGCTATCTTGAAAAGAATAAGGGCCCAAACGCTGCCGAGCAATGCCCAAGAGAGGCTTGGCAGCTCTAACCGTTGCGAGTACAACCATGTGGTGGGTGATGCCACACACCAAAACGCTGCAGCAATTACACACATCAAGGAGCACACATATCTCGGCAGTATGTTCATCTTGGCCTTCGTCCTCTCCATTGCGTAGAAGTCCTGAAACAAGGGAACTTCCTCGTAAGTGGTCAATATCCACGATCTGCTTTGTTCCGGCATAGTAATGAACAAGCTAATAATGACACCAGCCAAAAGGTTGAATACAAAGCTCGGCTCTGATTCCATTATGCTTGCCCGGAGCAGTGCCATGCACTGTAGCACGGTAAGTGCAACGCTCTCAAACAACTCTGATGCTTTGTGGTCATGTAAACCGAGCGTTGCAAAGCCTTGGGCAAAGCTCTGAGCCATGACTTTAGCACCAGTGCTCTGGAGAGGGTCAAACCTTTCAGCAATTGCCAGTGTCACACCCAACATTGCTAGTGCCGCGTAGAAGATCTGTCCGCATCTCACGAAGGTAATGATGGACAGCGCATCCAGGGTTGGCTCCAACGACAGGAAAACCGCTGACAAGCACAAGTCCCATTCGGAGGCTTCGCGGTCCGAGCTGACGGAGATGCAGCAGAGAGGTGCTTTGCAGCGTCCTGTGGCGAAGGGTCCGTTCTGCTGGAGGCTGTCCTGCTTTGGACCAAGGCTAGAAAGTTGTTTGGGGGTGGTCTTCCAGAGGTAGAACAGCAACATGAAACTCGCAAAGCCATAAGCGAACGCAGCCATGTAAGCGTACCCAGCAGAAGGCCAAAGCCAAAGCCCAAACGAAGCCGTCTCCACTTTCCAGCACATAAAGATGATGAGTGTTTCGGCCCGGCGGGTGGTGGCCACAGCATACCCAATCATAGGCCCCAGAAGAAAATATTCAATATGACTCCTGGGACCTATGCTCTCATGACACCAGGGCAGGCATTCACCAGCTATGGATGCATTGGGCACAGTGTCGGTGACCAGTATGCGTGCGCAATCAAGCGGAGCCTCAGACGTGTTGTGCAGAACTCTGGGATCCCACAAAGAATGGACGCTAGCAATGTAACCAAGGGATGCAGCCATAGGAGGTGCGATCAATATCATGAGAATGTGCCAACTGAAGAGAAAGCACGCACAGGTTGCGGCGCGCCCTCCATGTCGGCACATGTCACCTGTTGACTCTTTGCACAGACCAGCAAATCAAACCTGCTGCCATGTACTGCTGAGCCTGGACGAGCTGCGGCTCATGCGACAAATGCCGTGCTACAGTGGATTTGCAAACTTGAACATCTACACCGCTGCAAATTAACCCTCCTGGCCATGGTTTGAATCGTCGCAGATACTTGCAATGGCAATTTGTCTTCACTCCCACAAGTCAGTCCTTGTCTGGTCGGGCACGACGACTCCGTGTGGCCGATGAGAGCATCCATTCACAGGAAGCTACATCCAGGATTACCACTCCCCCAAAACCGCAAGTATGAAGTTGCGAGACTGAGTATCAACCCCTTTGCCCAGTTAGGCTTGGGTCTGGTGGTTGGTGTTGGGGATTGGTGTAGGGGGTTTCAGGAAGTTTGTGGTGGGTGGTCGTAGGTGGTAGGGTCTTGGGATGCCTAGGGTGGTGGGTTGGGTCGGGTGGGTTCTGAAGGTTGGTTTCAGGCATTTGGGTGGTGCGGTGGTGGGTGGGTGTATAGGAATAATCGTATACTGGGGAAGTAGTAGTGATATATGGGGTGGAGTGTAGGGGGGAGTATAGGAATAATCGTAAAATGGGGAAGTAGTAGTGATTTCTGGGGTGGAGTGTAGGGGGGACCCTAGGAATGATAATCTAATGGGTTGGCGGTGGCATTATTACCCAAAAGGGGCAAGGTATACTCTAACTAAGAATGGGTCATGTGTCCAACCTTTGCACACACTCCGAGGCGTGGACGTGCCACAAGCGTCCAGTTTGTTCCGGGCAGATCCAGCGAGCCCAAATAGCCCTGGGCAAAGACAAACTGCGAAGCTCAGGGTTTAGGGTCTTAGGAAGTCCTTTTCAGTTTATGCCCTCCTTTAATTTTCCTGTAGCAGTTAGCGTCCAGAAAACCAGTTTGGCTGAGGGAGGAGGAGGTCTTGTGTTCAGGGTTTGCCCGCTGCACCCAGACCTTCCAAAACCCCTTAATTAAGGAATATACCCTAAATTATAGTAGGGTCCCTAATATGATTTAAGGTAAATTCCTTATAGATCCCTTTATAGATCCCTTTAAGGAACCCTAGATTTAAGGTATATTCCTTAATTAAGGGGTTTTGGAAGGTCTGGGCAGCCTCTAAGACCCGAAACCCTGCTCGGAGGGTCGGGGGACTTAGTAAGTAGTTAGTAACTAGACTTATAAGTACCCTAAAAGGGACCCTAATTGGGGTTATGATACTTATAAGTCCCTAAAATAACCAGTTACTAAGTCCCCCGACCCTCCAAGTTCCCGCACCCACCTCCAGCGTGGCGGTTTTGGCATCCAGCGACGGGATCAGCGACGTGGGCAGCTCCAGGAGAGAATCCCAGACCTTCACATGCTGGCTTCAACGGGTTTGATAGGATTCCTGAGGCTTTGTGTGGCTTGAGAGTGCTTGCTGCTGAAATCTCTTGGTCTGTGGGTGTTAGTTCGAGGAGTTCTTGCTGAAGTTTCGGCTTTCGGTTGTTCTGAAACTTGAATTCAGGGCCTAGCTTGCTCTCATCCGCGGAGGCGGTACAAGCAACCCTTTGTTGCAGTCACGGCAGTCGGAGCAGTCTTCCAACAGCACAACAGTCGGCTCCGTCATTCTGGTATCTTTCCTGTGCTAAAGAGGAACTGCCGCTAGGACCACTAGGATTCCAGGATTGCAGTGGCTGAATTGACTTGGCTGTTGCAACATAGTGTTTTTATTCAAACATGCGAATCTGCCTGTCTGCCGGTCTGCCTGTCTGTCTGTCCGTCAGCATGTGTGTATGTATGCATGTCTGCCTGTCTGAGTTATGCGGACAATTGGTACAGGTTCTCATAGCTATCCCTGTACGTATGTATGTATGCACGCATTCACCTGCGTGTGTGTGTATATATATATAATATAGAAAGAAATGGCATGTGTGTGTATACATATATACATATACACATGTATGTATGTCTACACATACATACACATCAACATATCTACCGAGAACATACATACACCCACAGTCTTAAGCACTTGTTTTTGTGTCGTGCTTCCGTTGCAGTCGGCAGACTAAGGTCCTCATTGCTGAAACTGCCGAAAATTCAAACAGGGGCCTTAATAACTGCCTATACTATTTTGGGGCTTCCTTATTATTATTGTAGTTATAGTATATTGGCCCCAACATCCTATTCTAGCTATGAAGGCCCTTACTGTAGAACCCTAATGGACCCCTTTAACGGAACCCTTTAAAGGCAGCCCTCTTCTATTGAGGCACCTTTTAGCAAGCACATATGGCTCATAGGCTCAGGATCATGATGCGCATTCGCCTGCTCTGGGTCGGCTAGGTTGCCAAGACCTGGCGAAGCTCTTACAGTAGTTGTACAAAAGCCGTAATAAGGGGTTCCTTTCAAGGGTTCTATAAGGGCGACTATAAGGTTGATTATGAAGGTTTAATGTACCAAAGCCTCAACCCTCAAACCCTTCAATCGGGGTGTATGTCGCCAGACACTAGCAGCGCCGTCAAAAAACCCTAAACCCTAAACTTACCCTACAGTTTCGGGGTTTAGGGTGAGTTGCTCGTTTTTCTTATTGGGGACCCGTATTTCCCTTGCAGCTCTAGAGGTAAGTTCGAGAGGGCTCAGCTTGGGGGTTAGGAACTAAAAAGATCTCACAAGTCCTCTATTCAAAGGGGAAAAGGGGGGACCCTTAATGGGGACCCCTACCCTATAATGGCCTACATAATGGGTATATAATAGCTATATTAAGGGTATATACCTACGGATCCTTATTAAGGGTCCCTCCTTTTACCCTCGGATCTATAAACCATCGGACTCCTAAACGCTAAGCCCCAAACCCTCAGCTCTAAATCGTAGCTCACGGCTCGCAACGCTCATCTTAGGCTTTGCAAAGATTGTGCCCCTAACCTGCCAAAGACATGTTTCGTTTGTCTAGATTCCCGAGTAGCCCTTTCATGGTACCCCCCTTTTCCTAATATTCATAGTTTTACTAAGGGGACCTTAAAGCAACAATGGCAAAAGGGTACTACGAGTTGCTTCTGGTATCTTACGGCAGACAGACGACCACAGATTACCATCTTCCAAACCAATCCCTAAAGCTCCAAGTTGACTGCAACTGTTGATCAATCTGGTAATCTTCCAATATCCCTTAAGGACTATACCTTAAATTAGAATAGGATCCCTAACATGATTTGCGTGTGTAGAGGCATCCAGACCACTTGGATTTCAGGAACGGTTTTCCCGGTTTGGGGCGCTAACCACACACTTTCGGAATGTTGTGCACGAGACCGAAAGCCGAGGGCTTAGTTGCATCCAGCAACATATCACCCACATGCTCAACACCATTGAACATCCGCAACTCATCTAATGTAACCTTAAGGCCTTGAGCCAGTCTATGCCCGTCAGTTAAAAGAACCTATGTGCAGTTAGCTACAACTCGCAGAGTTTCGGGCCATGCGATGCAACACCAAACCGCAGAGCCCAACACCTAAAACCGAAACTTGATCGCCCAAACCTTGACAAGCCGACACCCCGCCCACCGCCTCACCGACAAAAAACAGCCTGAACAACCTGTAAGCCTACAACTTACCTATTCTGGCTTAACCAACTTAATGCTTAGGATTTCAGAGGTGCAGTGGAGACTGTACGTTGGGTACTCCCCCCCCCACCCATACTCGATACAGTAGCAGTCTGTAATAGGGCTACTATAAAGGGCCCTATGTATGTATGTACATATATATATATATACATGTTTTCAAAAATTGTTCGACTGTTGCTCATTGGGGGCGGTATTCAAACTTTTGAGTAGAACCTAAGCAAGAGAACCGATGCCGCACCATGGCGCCACTCCACGCTGATTGGCCCCAAAGCTCCACACCTCGAGACGAGTAGTGACGGGTTTAGCGCTTCCAAGATTGAAACTGAGGAGTTGGTTCAGTGTTGACGGTGTGTTTAGGGTTGCGTCGCTTAAGATAGCAGTGGTTAGCGGTGCTATAATACTAAAGTTGAGGAGTTGGTGGCATCTTTTCGTCATAGAGCCAGCAATGGTAGATTGTCAACAAGGCATGAAGATGATCGGGCAGCTGCGACGCAAACCCCTCATCAAGATCCATTTTCAATACCTCCCAGCCCCACACCCACAAAATCAACAGGCCCCAGTACTGTCGCAACCGTTACTATTGCCCATAAACCCATAGACGCTTGTATGCTCGAAATACGACAGTGCAACGGAAGCAGTTGTGCGGGTAGCCACTCGGTCCCAGGCGTGCTGCCGGCTCCCACAGAAGCCACCTCAAGCCAGGTACACATGCAGTATGTTCTGAAGTCATTATGTAGGAAATCCGAAAAGCCAAGTGTATATACCATGTAATTAGGCACACAGAACTGCCAGCCGTTATTCTAACAGGTACCACTCAGTTCAAGAACCCCCACAGGGGACAACAAAGGCGTTCACCGGCAGCGCAGGGCTCACTGAGATCTCCAACCTCAGCATCCACTGCAACACCACGGCCCGACAGGAAGGAATTTTGGGTTTGTTGTTTTGGGTTTAGGGTTTAGGGCGCCTTTTAAGGTTTGTTGTTTAGATTTAAATTAGGGCATGGTAGGTTGAGGGGCTTAGGGGTTCGGGCCGTAGGCAGTTCATTGGGGTGAAGGGAATGAGGGCTTAGGGGTTTAGGGGCTCAGGGCTGACTGAGGGATCTTCAGTGTTGCTGCGCTCAATGGGGGTTTGGTTTCGGGCGTTCCCTCGGTAGTTCCCTCGGTCGGTAGGACCCGGGGAACGAGATTACTCTAAACCCTACGCTGAGCCCTAGAGCCAACCCTAAACTAAACCCTACAGCTAGCACAAGATAGAAGTCTGAAGATTAGCAGTCACAGAATGAGCCCCTTGTGTTCCTTCTCTTTATAGTTACTACAATACAAGATCACCAAACCCTACTTTAAGAATTATGGAACCCTTATACAAACCTTTACAAATCAGAGTTATCTATAAGATTAGAGGAGCCCCGAAACCCCAGGAGCTCCTCGAAAAAATCCGAGCGCAGTTCCGGATGCTCTGGCCCTGGTCCACGAAGATGTCCCTGCTTGTGAGGGCAACGGCCTGAAAGTTTGGAGGGTTTGGGGGGCTTAGGGTTCAGGGTTCAGGGTTTGGGGTTTAGGGTTTAGGGTTCAGGGTTTAGGGTGTAGGGTTTAGGGTTTAAGGTTTAAGGGCCCCTACCTACTACAAGGGACCCTATAAAGAATCCATAAGGGTTTAGGGGTTTAGGGGTCCCTACTTGTGGGAGCAACGGCCTCAGGGCTGGGGTTTGGGGGTTTCGGGATTAGGGCTTCGGGGTTTAGGGCTTATAGGGCCTATAGAGTTTAGGGTTTAGGGGTTTGGGGTTTACTGGAGATTTGGGGTCCTTGCATGGGTAGTTCTCTAAATTAGTAGAAGTTTTAAGGTTGAACCCTAAACCCTAAACCCTATAAAGTAGAGGGTTAGGGCTTGGAATTTAGGGTTGAGGGTTTAGGGGCAACGGACTGGGGACCGGGTTTGGGTTGAGGGTTTTGGGGTTTTGGGGTTTTGGGGGTTTGGGGTTTGGGGCTTAGGGTTTAGGGTTTTGGGGCTTAGGGCTTTGGGGTTTAGGGTGTTGGGGGTTTGTGGTGTTGGGGTTTGGGGTTTTGGGGTTTAGGGTGTTGGGGCTTTGGGGTTTAGGGGGTTTGAGTTAAAGGGTTAAAGGGTTTGGGGATTTAGTCCTTCCACGGGTCGTCCTCTACGTTAGTAGACGGTTTAGGGTTTGGGGTTTAGGGTTTGGGGTTTAAGGAGTAGGGTTTCGGTTTAGGGCTTATTTAGGAGTTGAGGCATCGCAGGGTTCGGGGTAGGGTTCAGGGCGTAGGCTTCGAGGGTTTAGAGTTTAGGGCCCGGGCGATCGGGAATCTTGGGGTCCAAAGGACCCAATAATTATGTACTCAATTTTAGGATTGTAGTAGTTATGTAGGTTAGGATTTTGGAGAGTATATGATTCTTGGGTACTTGGACCCTTTGGGAAAAATTGAAGTTTTATTCGGGTGGCAGGCTCCTGGGGCTTACAGGGTGTATAGGGGTACTATAAGGGGTTCCGTTAGGGTTCCTTTAAAGGGATCTATAGGGATTCTATAAGGGCTTTGGGGTTTAGGGGGTTTGGGGGTGTAGGGGTTTTGGGGTTGGGGGTTTAAGGCTTCGAGATCAGGGTTGAAAGGCTAGTGCCTGACTGCAGGAAGTGATTGGCGTACTGTCTGCTGGCACACTCGCACACCCCTAAACTCCTAAACCTAAACCACTCCCTATACCCCTAAACCCTAAACTCCTAAACTCCTCAACCCTTAACTCCCTATACCCCTAAACCCTAGAACCTAAAACCCCAAAGTTCTACACCCAAAACCACAAGCACTGCAGTCCCCGGCCACAGGGATCCGATCCACCACGAAGCTCAGCGTGTGCGCTGCCTCATCCAGTCGAAGATTCTGCAGATTTTCATGGGGCCTCGAAGCAAATCTGTGAAAGCTCCTACGCTTCAATCCGCTACGACCCGTAAAAGCCCTACTAAACTCCTAAACCCTTAAACTTACAAACCCTAAACCACTAAGCCCCGTAAACCCTAAACCCCTTAAACCCCTTAGCACCCCCTTCACCTAAACCCTAAACCCTAAACCCTAAAAAAAAGCCATGAGCCGCCGAAGGGGGCCTCGGACCACTCGCCCAAGGCATTCTCCAGCTTGAGGTAGACCTGATACATAAGAAGCTGCCCCCACCCTGCAATAGTGACCATAAGGATTATATAGGATTATATTAGGGCCCTATTATATTCCGATTATACCACTATTACAGGGTGGGGGCAGCTTCTAACTGATACAGTTTACAGGGATCAGGGTGAAGTGAAGTAATGTAGCGGCCTAAACCCAGACCCCCGGGAGGATCCAAAAAGTAGATCCCTTAATGGGGGTTCCTATAAAGTACGCTTAGTAGCATAGGGCCCCAAAATAGGGGATCTAATTTCTAGATCCTTTCGGGGGTCTGGGAACAGGTAGAATAGGTTTTAGGGTACTATAGCTTCATTCATGCGAGCATTTGATATAGGGGCCCCAAGGAGTAGAATATGGTCTTGGGGTACATGTTGGGTACTTCCCGCTCTCAGTCAAAATAGTGCTACCATGGAGTTTAACTGCAGCTGCTGGCCATGACAAATATCGACAGCGACCCATGACCGATACAAGCATAACACAGGAAGCATTTCTAATTAGAATAGGGTTTGGCGGGGTATATAATATACTCATGTAGGGATTGGCAAGGCAAGCTTTACCAATAAATTGCAACGCTCTTTTCACTTCATGCACAGCTTGCCAGGAGCCCGGTCCCGGAACACAGGCTGACCCCAGCTGTATTGAGTATGCTGTCAATGGTGGTTTCGGGTTCCCGGCTCAGGGTATAGTATAGGGCTTCCCAAGCTGTATGGATTATGCTGTTTTCTTGAAGCTCGGGTGTTGCTCATGCAAAAGTCCTTTCAAGAATCCCGCTGCTGGTATAATGTGTCCGCATTGCTGTCCGTTACGTTTCCGAAACTCCCCGCCGCCCTCTTTCAGAATCTGCAGAGGCGTGGGCAACGACCGTGGCAAGGGCCGCAGCCAAAGAAAAGGCCGTCGCCTGAGAACAGTTGCTCCGGTTGTTTAGGGCCGAGGATTCCTGGAAACCGTCGGCGGGTCCCTGAATTCATCTTGCAAGCCCAAGCTCTATATGTTTGCACATGAACGAAGGAGCAAGCCGTCAACTCTTAAGAAACATAAACTCAACTATGAACACCCCTTCAGAGAACTTATCTTGATTGCTCCCTACACAAATATCTGAAACAACAAACAAATACAAAAGAACCCTAACTGCCCTATGCCCTACCTTTAATTCAGCCGTCCATGTCAACACCCCTTTTCACAAAAACACCTGCAGACCTTAAGCCCCAAATATCCCTTGAGCACCCAAATACAGCAGAAGAAAAAAACAATCCAAAGCCCTCTTCAAAAGCCCAGAAACCCCTACACACCTCAATTACATAAGAACCCCCTACAGCAAACAATTGAAACATAAGAACTTCTCAGCCCTCTTCTGGACTGCCTCGGGGATCGTCGCCCGCAGTCCGCAGGGCGCCGCCCCGACCTCCAAGCCTGCTGTGGCAAGGCCCGGCCTGCGCTGAGGTCGGCTCCTTTTGAGGGATCCCTGAAATCACAGCCGCTAGCCCAAAGGATTCCAAGTATCATTATGATATATATATATATATATATATATATATATGTATCTTTCTCTCTCTCTCTCTCTCTCTCTCTCTCTCTCTCTCTCTGTCTCTCTCATTATGGTATATACTTATAGACCCCCAAAATACCCTATAAGTATACCTATAGGGCATTTTGGGGGTCTAAGTATATACCATAATGATACCTGGACCCTTTGGGTTGGGGATTAGAGGGCGGAGGCCTTCTCGGGTCCCTGAAAAAAGAGCCATTAGGGGATGATAGGGGTTCAGGGCTGAACTTCTAGGGCCTGGTATTATGGGTGCTGGGGGTTTAGGGTTCAGGGTGGCCTGACAGAGGCTTAGGGGCTATGGCCTCTTTCGTTTCAAGGATTTCGAGGCCGTGAGGGTTGCATAATAGGGCTTATGGTCTACCTGAACCTACCCAAACCTACTTTTTGGTAGGGTCCCTACAAATTCACATTAGGGTTTATAATGAGAACCTACAAAACAGTAGGGTCTGGTAGTTTAAGGTAGGCAGGTGCTTGAATGCGAAGCTGTTTTTGCTTAGGTGCGTTCTGCGTTTCGCTTCTCTGCTTTCTCGGTTTGTGTTTCTTGTTGGGCGGTTGGGGTTTATGCGGCTTTCCGGGCCTAGCAGTAACCTAGGAATGAAAAGGGCTCCATTTTTGGTACCTAGGACTACAGCAAAGTTGGCGGCTTGAGGAGTTTTTTCTACAGTACCAATGAGCTTAGCCCTGCTAACATCTTTCTTTAATCCCGTACGGATTGGAATTAAAACCCTAGTTAAGCCCTAGTTTCAACTCTGGGCGGCATAGGTATAGGCTGTCGATCGCCTCGTTCTAACCCCATGAACTCCAGAGCCCTTCAATTCTAAGCCGCCCTCTGACCCGTGAACCCCTCAAAGGCTAAGCGGGTTAAACCACTTCACTTGAGCGCCAAACCCCATTAGCCCGGAGCACATTGAGCCCTAAACCTCTCAAACTCCATACCCCTTCAAACCTAGATCCAAACTCCCTAAACCTCTCAAACCCTAAGCAATAGATCAAAACACCCTAAACCCTGAACCCTCGACCTAAAATGATCTCCACCACTTGAGCCCAGAACTATGAAAAAACCCTAAACCATCTGCTGAGTTTCTGGCGTGAGCGTGTTGCAATTCGGCAGGAAGGCACGCACCTGGACAATAAGGGATCGGTTTGGGCCTTCCATGCTTCAGGGTTTAGGTTCCCACAGGCGGGCCCTTTTCAAAGGGATCCTTTAGGGGATTAACGTTTGCAATAAGAACTCAGGCCATTATGTTACATGCATACAGCCGCTAAAGCTCAGACCATGAACTCTGACACCTTGAACCCTAAACTCCAAGCCCTGACTGAACACCGTCGCCTCTGCGCATTGGGAGGGATCCCCCGTGCATCGCCACTGCGTCGTTTTCCAGGGCCTGCGGCAGCAGCAGGTTCAAACGGCTTCGATCTTCTGAACGGTTTTCGGTCTTCTGAACGGTTGACTGTCTGCCCTAAACTACCAAAACCTACTTTTTTGTAGGTTCTTATTACAACTTATAACCCTAATATGGATTTTATAGGATAGGGACCCTACAAAAAAGTAGGTTTTGGTAGGCTCAGGTGGAGTTCAGGGCTATCACCGCACGTATCCACGAACACTTCACACCTTACCTGGTAAACTGCCCTAGAGTAGAAGCCCCTATACTATGCTATCCTGATAGTAGCCCGTATAGCCCTTATAACCCTAAACCCTAAGCCCTTAAAGTAGAAGCCAGAAAGTTGTAATATCATTATCATACTCCTTTTAAGGCAAGATGTAGGGGATCCTGCCATTATTCCATATTCCAACTTTCAGGAGTTCCCTGTAAAGCCTCAACCGGATTCCTAGGTCCTAAGTCCTAAAGGAATCATAATACCCTAAGGCTCCATGTACCCATCTAGTCTATACTTAGGCCTTAAAGTACCTACATAGGGACCCCTTTAAGGCTTAAGCATCTACTATAATGGTACATGGAGCCTTTGGGATATTCAGGGTTAAGGTACTTAAAACCACGGCCGAAGCCCGATGCTTAGACCCCAGTGCAAGCCCTGCACCCAAATTCTGGGCCTTAACTTCTAAGTAATCCTAAAAACCTCAACAGATGGCATATCTCCCTGCACCCAAATTCTGAACCTCAAATTCTCTGTTTTGATCCTAAAGCCCCACAAAACTTGACAGATCTCACGACCTGCCTCCCCGCATTCCCGGTGCTGGCGGTGGCATCGAGCACAACATCCCCACATTCGCCCGCCATGTTCGGTCCTCGCCTGGTGCTTGGCGCTTTGAGAAGCTGCTCTGGGCCTAGCCCAGACCTTCCAAAATCCCTTAATTAAGGAATATACCTTAAATTATAATAGGGTCCCTAATATGATTTAAGGTATATTCCTTAATTAAAGGATTTTGGAAGGTCTGGGAGGGTGTGGGGTTTTGGGTTTAGGGGTCCTCAATATCCTCTAAACCCTAACCACCCCATAAGGGGTCCCCACCCTAAACCCTAAAGCTCATGATGATGCATCCTCTAAGGCTTTTGTGGGCTTCGTTGGGCCAATAAGATACTTGGAGGCCCAGGGGACCTAGCAAGTAGGTTATAAGTAGGGTTATAGTTGGGGTAACTCCATTTAGGGTACTTATAACCCTACTTTTGACCTACTTACAAAGTCCCCTGGGCCTCCAGTACGCATATCAGGTTTGGCACTGATGTGTTTCGGGTTGAGGGGTTTAGGGTTTACCTGAACCTACCAAACCCTACTTCTTTGTAGGGTCCCTATAAATTCCATAGTCGGGTTTATAATAAGAACCTACAAAAAGGTAGGCTTTGGTAGCTTAAGGTAGGGTTGTCCTGAATGAAGGGGTCTGGGGCTCGGTGCTGGCCATTACAAAATGATCCCTCAAAGGGCTATGCTGTGGCAGCACCTATGCTGAGATGTGATCGCAGCAACGAGTACGGGGTGTAATTTTCATCTTTTCCTTACCCTAAACCAAACAACACTAAACCTTCTCCCAGTCCACATCCTAGGATGCCCCGTAACCGAGGAATGAAAGGGGCTCCCTTTTTGGTATTGGGGAACTTTATAAGGAACCTAGGAAACAAAAAGGGCATAAGGGTACTACTGGGCATCCTAGATATTGAAGGGTTCATAACATACACCTCTGCAGGATTTTGGTACTACTTAGGGTACATTATTTGGGTCCCTTATTCTCGGAAACTCCCACATGAACTCAAGCAACTAAGGCCAAGACAAGACGACGATCGGCTCTGCGCGCGCAAGTGGAGTTCCCAGAGCCTCAAAGAAGGTGGGCGAGTTAGGGCTGAAGGTCTTAGGGTTTAGGGATTAGGGTTTAGGGACTCGGACAGGATTCAGCGACTTAGGGTTTAAAGTTTAGGGCTTAAGTTCTTAGGGCTTGAAGGGTTTAGGGACTTAGAGTTTTAGGGTTTGCGGCTTAGGTTTATGGGGGCTTTAAGCTTCAGGCTTTAGGGCCTCTAGGCCCCTGCGAAGTTTAGTTAGGGCTTAAGGTCTTAGGGCTTGAAGGCTTTCGGGTTTGGGGGGGGCGTTAAGCTTTGGACTTTAGGGTTTAGGTTGTAGGGTTTGGGCTTTATGGGAGTTTGAGATAGGGTTTCGGGTTTAGGGTTTAGCGTCTTAGGGGAATCTAGCTCGCGTTTAGGGTGTAGGGTTTGGGGTTCAGGGTCGTAGGGAGTTTGGAATCAGGATATAGGGTGGGTTTACCTACTTTCGGACTAAAGCCTATAGATAGTACCTACCTTCGGAGGTTGGCTGTCAGCGCCTCAAGGTGTCAGGGTTTGGGCACTAGGGATTTTAAGGTGTAGGGTTTGACTCTGGGGTGTTTGGGGGCTTTCAGCATTCGGGCGCAGGGTTCGGGATTAAGACTTGGGTATTGCAGGTGGGTTTCGGGCTCTGCGGTGATCAGCGCCTGGAGTTTTCGGGCTTATATGGCCTAGGGGTTTTGAGCTTTCGATTGAAAAGGTCCGAAGAAAACGATATTGATATCAAACTTGCAAAGACAGCCTGCAGATGCTGAACGTTAGAGCTCAGCTGTCAAGGAATCAGGGAGTATCGGGGATAGGCTGGGTCACGGTCTGGGGATAGAGAGATTAAGGAAAAGATTTGCGGAGCTATTTGCTCGTCTTGCATAATGTTGAGGGTTTAAGGCGTTCAAAAATCTGGCGGTTGTACGATACGATCCCAAAGGCAAGTTTCAGGTTTTCAGGAATCCCCAAGTACTACACGCCCCCATTTGATGACGAGCTTTTGGGTTTGTTGTTTATCAAAGAACAGTATCCTTAAGGAACACCCTGCCAAACCCATATCAAACCCTCGGAAGCCCCATAAAGCCCACATCAACCCAGGCTTCGGATTATCGAGGCTCCCAAGAGCCCAGAGACTCCAATACCCCTTAATTAAGGAATTTTCCCTAAATCATATTCGGGATCCTATTATAATTTAAGGAATTTTCCTTAAATCATATTCGGGATCCTATTATAATTTAAGGAATATTCCTTAAATCATATTCGGGATCCTATTATAATTTAAGGAATATTCCTTAAATCATATTCGGGATCCTATTATAATTTAAGGAATATTCCTTAAATCATATTCGGGATCCTATTATAATTTAAGGAATATTCCTTAAATCATATTCGGGATCCTATTATAATTTAAGGAATTTTCCTTAAATCATATTCGGGATCCTATTATAATTTAAGGAATTTTCCTTAAATCATATTCGGGATCCTATTATAATTTAAGGAATATTCCTTAAATCATATTCGGGATCCTATTATAATTTAAGGAATATTCCTTAAATCATATTCGGGATCCTATTATAATTTAAGGAATATTCCTTAAATCATATTCGGATCCTATTATAATTTAAGGAATTTTCCTTAAATCATATTCGGGATCCTATTTTATAATTTAAGGAATATTCCTTAAATCATATTCGGGGATAATTTAAGGAATTTTCCTTAAATCATATTCGGGATCCTATTATAATTTAAGGAATATTCCTTAAATCATATTCGGGATCCTATTAATCAAATCATATTCGGGAATTTCCTAATATTCGGGATCCTATTATAATTTAAGGAATATTCCTTAAATCATATTCGGGATCCTATTATAATTTAAGGAATATTCCTTAAATCATATTCGGGATCCTATTATAATTTAAGGAATATTCCTTAAATCATATTCGGGATCCTATTATAATTTAAGGAATATTCCTTAAATCATATTCGGGATCCTATTATAATTTAAGGAATATTCCTTAATTAAGGAATATTGGAGTCTCTGGGAGTAAGCTGAGAGCAGGACAGGTCCAAGATAGATTCGCTCCGCAGGAAACTCGAAAGGCCGTGCGACCTCCCAGGTCTTTGCAGGCCTGTAGGGAACACAGCCTTCAAGCCCACAATCCCCACGGCCCTCACAAAAGCAAAATATCCTAAATGGCCCTGAACCCCGTAAGCCTAACATCTTCTCTAGAAGCCGCAAAAAGCTGAACGAAATCCCGTTGAAGCCTCACAAATCCAGAAAGGTCTGCCAACACCTTGCAGCACCCATGGCGGCGCCACCCTATAATAAGGGGCCTGACTACTTGGAAGAGAGTTTGGGGTTGTAGTAATAAGAACCGCAAATGCAGACTATTTGTAATTATGCTTCGATATTACCCAGAGCTTCCATAATCTTGTGGTTCAATAATGTGTCTTAAATCACATTAGGGATCCCATTGTAGTTTCAGGTGTAATGCAAACTAGACCCTTAGCCCTGAACCCCAAACCTAAAGATCGAACCTTGAACCTCAAACCGCTAAACCCCTAAACCCTTATAGATCTGTTATAGGACCCCTTATGGAAGAACCCTTACATCATCCCTAACGGAACCCTGAACCCTAAACCCTAAGCCCCTCTAGATCCCTTTAACTGAACCCTTGTGCATGCCTTTAATCATAGGGATCCTTAGGCGTGTAGGGGGAGGGGGGGGTAGGGGGCCTTAAGGCCCATAATAAGGACTAATAAGGCCTATTTAAGGAAACATAATCAAACCTAAACCCTAAACCCTAAACCCTAAACCCCATAGTCCCCTACACCCCTCCCCCCTACACCCCTAAGGATCCCTATGATTTAAGGAAACTCACAACCTCCATTGCTGCGTCGATGCTGGCGTACTGTCGAGCGACATCCTCGGAGACGCTTTGGGGCCTTTGGGTTTAGGGCCTGGGTTTGGGGTCTTTAGGTCTACGAGTTGAGAATGTTACGATACCCCCTTAGAACCATAAATAAAATATGTCTAGTATTCTCTTGGGGTTTTATCTGAACAAAAACGAAAAACAATTCCTAAGGAGACTATAGGTTATCTAGGATACCCAGTAACCTAAGAACAAAAAGGCCTCTCTTTTTGGTATTGGGTAACTTTATAAGGAACCTAGGACTACAAAAACGGAATAAGGGTACTACTGGGCATCCCAGTTATCTGGGCTTTTAAGTAACCAGGGAAAAAAATATAAACCTTAATTTCACAAGGGTTCCTTTTAAGAAAAAAGTATTAAAGTATGGTACTTCAAAGCCCAGTTATAGGGTTTACGATGGTTTAGGGGTCTTTGGGTTTAGAGGTCTTTGGGTTCGGGATCTTGGGGGCTCAGGATTTTTCGGGTTTCGTGGTTTAGCGCTCCTTAGGGCTAAAAGAAAGGGATCTATCATAATAGCTGAGTGCTTAGGGCTTAGTAGGCTTTGGGGACTTTCCTTTTTGGGGCTTTGGGGTTTTAGCCTCTTTTTGGGGGATGTCTTTGAGTTCAGGGCGTTCTTGTATTTTGGGGTGTACGGTTTTGGTGTTCAGGGTTTGGGGATCGTGGGTTTTGGGATTTTGGGCGCAATTGTTGCTGGCATCCTTGGGTTTAAACTCTTAAAGGGAACTCCAGAAAGTTGGAATATGGTTTCAGGGTAGGATACCTTATAGTTTACCATAAAGGGCTTAGGATAATCATATTCCAACTTTCTGGCTTTTACCTTAGGGTCTTTGCTTCGGGCCTTTGAAGCTGTGGGTGTGTAGGCTGTAGAAGGCAGCGGGCATAAGTTTTCTGGTTATTTCAATGGTTCCTCTCCGCGTTCCCTTATGCGATCTACGAGGGGCCTTATGGCTCAAGGGTTATGGGGGTCTGTGCGGGTTTTATGCTGTTGCATCACTCTCATGGTTATTACAACATATTACACCTGTCTCGCTGATGCATGCCATCAATGTTCCTCTTCAACTCTTCGCACCACGTTGTTGGGTTTAGTGTATTTGTGGAGGTACGGCCCCGACTTAGTTGTCGGTATCAGTAAGCTCTTCCTAACACGCCTGGCAAAAGTTGCTCCGGTTCGGGGCCGCCGCCAACACCAGAACCGCCGTAGAGTCCTGCTCACGGCGGGCACTGAATGGTCTCTGCCAGTGCGTCTTCGGTCATCACAGCATCAACGCTAGCTACTCCTCCCGCTGCTTTGCGTGTGCAGTCGCACCGCCACTAACGAAAGGCTTTAACAACAGGCCGGGCATGCCAGCAAGGGCGAATAGTCATACGGTAATCTTGCAATCATAGCAGCAATGTCAGTAGTAATAGCACCTATCGTGTCGCCTGCCCTGAAGCCCGAAATCCGAAACTCGACACTGACTCATCCTGCTCTTGAAGGAACCCGGAACTCCAAACCCTGAACCCTCTTTAGGACTAGAATCTTTCTTAGTACTATTCTAGATTACTAGTATTGTGTTACAATTATGTCCACTCGCAGTATAACCCTGAAGGGTCCAAGTACCCAAATAGTAGGGTTTCAAAATCCAAAAACCATTCAGAGTATGGATTTGGGGACCTAGAACCCTACTCTTTGGGTACTTGGACCCTCTGGGTAAACATTATTGCTTTTTATCTCGGGAGGGGGCTCTTTTGCCAGCCTCCGCGATGCCCAAGGAGGCCCCGAAGCCCAGGCGGACCACGAAGTGCCGTGGCGAACCTGGCCCGGGGCTGGGTGTGCTTTAGGGTTTCACCGGGGTGGAGGATTTAGGGCTTAGGGTGGAGGGTTTAGGGTTGAGGGTTGGAGGGTTTAGGGTGGAGGGTTGAGGTTTGAGTGTTTAGGGTTGAGGGTTTAGGGTCTAAGGGGTCTAGGGTTCAGGGTTGGGGGTTTAGGGTCTAGGGTTTCGGGTCGAGGGCTCTTTTCTTGGTTTATGTTGCTGGCTCTGTCTCGTGGCGATGGCCTTCGAGAAAGAGTGCTTGGGGTAGCTTGGGCGCAAGGCTTTGGCTCAGGACTGTCGAAGCTCAGATGTGGGCAGTTCCCTAAATTTGGGTCCCTTGCCGTACTATTTTGTGGAACGAAACAGGAGCCCTAATTTGGGGAACTACCCATGTAGGCTTTGGAGTTGGGGTTCCTGGACTTAGGATTTGCAATGTAGGACTTGAAGTTTACAGGTCTCAGGACTTAGGGTTAACGGTATAGACTCTCGGGTTCAAGGTATATACATGTCAACCCTGTCATGATCTTCGTCATACTTACCCTAAGGCTCAAAATGGCCCAACAGCCTTACATAACATGGTTTGTAGGCCCAAAAGCCTCAAAATATGCGGCCTTAGAGCCTTAGGGTTATGGAAGAATGTGCCCCGAAACTGATTGGACCATGTGAGGCTTCGTTGGATGTCACTTGTCGACAGGACGGGTCTAAGGGAGCATGCAGAAGCCTTTAACGAAAGGATTCGGGGACATAAAAAAGTCAGACATAAGTATCGCACCCTATGTAGGGTATCGGTACCTAACACTCCACATATAAGAGTACCGAACGTCTCGAGAACCCCTTCTACACAGGCGCTTACCCGCTAGCCTTATAGGATTGAAACTTAGAGCTGTGCTGAAAATAACCTTACAAGATGTAAGGCACTTGCAGCTCGACTTGCAACGCGGCCTTGCAAGCAGCTCGCCTCATCTCCAATCTCCGCTACCTGGAGGTCTTCGAGTTTTGGGATGTGAGATTTGGGCTTGAGGGTACGGTTGATGGTATATAATATAAATCCTGCATTACCTTAAGGACCCTGCACTATGCGAATTACGGTACATTCCTTATTATGGGTACTGCAGGATTTATATCATCAACAAAAGGGTGCAGGGTGTATAGCATGGGGCTGAGGGTTTAGAGCTTCGGATTGAGGACGTAATACAACTGTCGGACGCAAGGCCCGGTTCCCAAAGCTATCGTTGCAAAGGTAGGTCCACCCGTTGCTGGATCTCCACATGAGGCAGTGTACTGCCAACTGGCCCTCCTACAAAAAGGACAGCAGAGAAATTCTGGTGTGTGTGTGTGTGTGTGTGTGTGTGTGTGCGTGTGTGCTTGTGCAGCCCTAAACCTAAATCGTGGAACCTACCCATATGCTCCATGGTAGTTCCTTTTTGGGGGCTCATATTTAGAATCGTGTAAGGTAATCCCAAACAGGAACTACTATGGAGCCTAGGGGTATGCCCCAAACCTTAAACCCTAACCCTGTGCACCCTAAGTCCCAGACCCCGTGCAAAAAGCCCTAAACTGTGGACCCTGAACCCTGAAAGACCCTAAACCCGCAACGATCGTCGTCTTCACAGTAAGCCTCATACCGTGGCCGGGGCAAAGAGGCTTTCGCACGGTAGCTCCACGCCATACTCGGTTCCTGAGAGAAGTTTTCCGGCTACACTGGACAGAGCAAAAATGCGCTCCGTCAGCGAGATTGGTATGAGGATATATATATATATATATATACATACATACAGAGAGAGAGAGAGAGAGAGAGAGAGAGAGAGAGAGAGAGAGACTTTTAGGGTTTAGGGTTTAGTGGATTGCTGGAGGTCGCGAATGCTGCCGTGGGCGCTTTCAGGTAGCCAGGTAGTTGCCAAGGTGAAGACGACTGCCCGACTCGCTCTGGCCCAAAGACTTCAAACGGAACGGGGGCTTAGTGGCTTAGATTCAGGGGTTTAGGGCTTATAGGGTTTAGGGGTTTAGGGGTTGAGGGTTTAGGGTTCAGGGCTTTGGGTTTAGGGGTTTAGGGGTTGAGGGCTTAGGGTTCAGGGCTTAGGGTTTAGGGTTAGGGTTCAGGGGAACTAATAATCAGAAATGGGTGGTTGTCAGAAATATGGTCGCAGTTCTGGGTCCCTGACATGGTACGGCACCTAATATTTAGGGTACCCAAGAAGGGACCATCATTTTGACAACCACCCAAACGGAATTGCAGTCTTAGGGGACTTAAAAATCAGAACTGGGTTCGGTGTGCTTATTTCATAACGTTGAGGGATTGCTAATTATTGCCACCCCTAGCTTGTCGCTTGAAGAAGGCAAGCGTAAGACCTTATATAGAATACTAGCCTTGTAAACGGCGCTGGGCCTTTAGATCGCATACTTTTTGCGGGCTTACCACTATGGGCTATTAGACCCTAAAGATCCCTATTAGGACCCTATTAAGGGCTAGATCAAGGTACCCATAAGGTCTTATAGCCCATAGTGGTAAATATTGGCGATGCAGGATACAAGAGCTTGCAAGGCCCCTGCCATTCACCGGCGCATCGAACACGACGATCAATGCCCGGCCTTGAAGTTTTTCTCTTTAGGGTTTAGGGTTTATAGGGTTTAGGGCTTTAGGGTTTAGGGTTTCGGGTTTAGGGCTTTAGGGTTTAGGGCTTTAGGGTTTAGGGTTTAGGGTTTCTAGACAGTAATATCTTGTATGCTGCAAAGACCATGCAAGCATTGCATTATCAATGCGAGCATACATGAGCTGAATGTTATCAGCAAGTATATTTGTATGACAATCAGGGCACGCGCCTTCGTCAACCAGCTCTGCTAGGATGGCCTGACGGACAAGCGTTTTAGGGTTTACCGGGTTTCAGTCGGGTCATAATTCTGAAGAACTTTACAGGACTACTGTGTCTTATTCGGGTTTGGGGCGCCGCTTAGCGCTGTTTAGGATTCCCAGGTTTAAAAATCATCCTGAACCCTATAAACCCTGCACCGGAAACCCTCAGGACTGTAGGTGAAACTCACGCCTGGGAGATGCGAATCCCGGCCTTGGGTCGTGCAGCGACGTGCCCGCAGCCTCGCAACAGGTGCAGCTCGGCAAGCTTCTATTGGTTCGGGTCTAGAGTCTAGGGTCTGTGCATTGATTTGAACTACGATGACGGACTTTCCTAAACTTTGGGTTTAAGGTTCTAGACTAAGAAGAAACAGTGGGCGTACTTCGTGAAGTGCGGCCACTCAGGGTGGTAGCCGCTACGGCGACGTACTCGGCAAACTCGATTTCGGATAGTAGTTCGGATACGATGATGTGCGCCCAAACCCCACGGAAACTATTCAGGCCCCTGTATAAACCACCAACAAGGAGGCCTCAAAAAAAACACCTCTCACCTTTTGCAGACCTTTTTGGTACCTTCAGAATAACTCCAAACGCCACCCCTGCAGTTTGGGTTGCTGGAATCGGAGGCCTCAACACATGGGATGAAGGTAGGTATATAGGATTATAAGGATCCCATGTAGAAGGACTCTTCCTTATCCCATATAGAAGGACTCTTATTGGGGATTACCGAACCTAGCTGCATCCCTCCCCTGGAGCCCTATGAAGGAAGCCCTATGCTGGGGAGCACGGCGGTCTCCGCTGTCGATTCCGGTACAAGCGGCCTTGGAAGCGGCTTAAGGGCTTAGGGTTTACAAGGGCTTAACGGTTTAGGGTTTAGGTTTAGGGCTCAAAGCCGCAGTTCAGGGCTAAGGTTAGGGAAGGATCGGTGCTTTAGCAGGGCTTACAGAACGTTGTAGGGCTTCGAGCATTTTTGGGGATTTATCGCCTAGTGTAGTTTAAGGGCTTGGGCATTAAGCTATCGCATTGTTTACGAATGAGGCTTTTCTGCTACAAACATTATAGAATACTATCTTCCGTATATCCCTGATCAATAGAGGTGGCTGCGTATCTCAGAGACGAAGCAAACTGGTAGCACACACGAGGTGGTGCACATTTGCGAGCCTGTGCACGCATACACTCATACATTACAGACTAGCAAACAAGCCCTAAACCTTGAACCCTTATCCTTCAACCCCAAACCCGAACCCGAAAACTCTCCACCAACGAAATCCTAGATGCTGAACCCGACCTTCGGGGTCCGGGCTGGTCCCGAGAAGACCCGTCACCGCCGCTGCACCAATCAGGGGCTCCCCATTGAAATTCGGCCGGCCTCCGACCGCCGCCGCCAGCTTCTGGTCGTTCTTCTCCCACGAGAACCCTGAGACTGCAATATACCTTGATAAAGGAATATACCTTAAACTATAGTAGGATCCCTAATATGATTTAAGGCATATTCCGTACTTTTCCCAAGAGAAGCGGCAGGCCGAGAGAATCACTCCCGGGAAACAAGCAAGAGGGCCACAAGATCCGCGACTACGTCTCCAATCGGGGTTGAGGGTTTAGGGCTTACTCAGAGGCCCAGGGGACTTAGTAAGTAGGTTATAGGTAGCGTCATAAGTACCCTAAATGGAGTTACCGCAATTATAACCCAACTTATACCCTACTTACTAAGTCCCCTGGGCCAGGGTTTAGGGGGATTCAAGCAAGAGCCTCGAGCACGTCTGCAATCATCTCCTCTCGATCCTCCCGGGCGATCATACTTCGATGCTCTCTGGAGCTTCTTTCCACACTTCCGCCCGAGCGGAATTCCTAGATCCTTGTTCTTTGTGTAGATTAGGATTGAAGATTTACTTAAAAAAAATCTAAAGATCATGATGTAGGATTTAAGGTCTAGTCTAGCATTCAGGGTTTGGGAACAAAGGGGGTGACTATGACCGCTGCTGGCCTTGGAGGCCTGTGGCCTCTGGAAGTTAGGGATCGCAGTAGAAGCCAGAGAGTTGAAACTAAAGCATCAGGAATCCGGCAAGAATCATCCTAAATCCATGTTCCAACTTTCTTGCATTCACTATACGATTACGTGGACCCCAAATAACCTATATACTTGTTTGCGGATTTATATACGAAATTATCACAGGGAGCCACCAAAACGGAAGGCTTTATAGGGTCCACCGAGACCCCCCCAACTACCCCTCCACTATATCCCCGATTTGGGGTTGAGGGTTTCGGCTTCTGGAAGGCCTCCGGAGGGCTTTTGGACCTATTTTGGAATTGAGCCTAAGCTTCGATCCGAAACTGAATACGTTTGGGTTTAGGGTTTAAAGGGAACTCCAGAAAGTTGGAATATGGATTAATGGTAGGATCCCCTATAATTTACCTTAAAGGGGTTACGATAATGATATTCCAACTTTCCGGCTTCTACTGTAGGGTCCTATGAACAAGGGAGTCTGGCGGGGTGGGAGTGATACTAAACTGGCACATGGTGGTACAGAGGCCTTGCGAATCGGCCCTAGCTCATCGCGCACCCTAAGCACTGAACCCTAAACCCAAATCACACACCCTCAGCCCTAAATCCCAAATCCCAAGCGGTCCTAAACCCTAAACTCTAAACCCAAAGCTCTAAACACCTCAACTCTGCAGTCCCGATACCCTTTCTAGAAGCCTCATAGACTCATCGATCCACTTGTTTTAGCCTTACGAGTTGCTTTCAAGGCTCCTTGAACGGGACCTTGTCAGAGAACCCTATAGTACCCTTTAAATGGAAACCCTAAAGCCTGAACCACTAAACCCTTAAACCCGTAATCAAACCCTTAAACGCGCTAAAGAGAACCCCCTAACCCAAAGTTCTACAGCCCTGATTAAGCTCTATGTTCCCGAAACCCTGTGGACTCATAGATCCCTTGTAGTACCCTTAAACGGTCCCTTAAAGGCATCCTAGGATGCCTTACAGGATCCCTTAAAGGAACCCGTAAAGCCCTCAAAGGATCCCTTCAAGGAACCAACCCTCAAAGGATCCCTTAAAGGATCCCTTAGAGGAGAGCCCTAGCCCTAGGATTCCCAGCCCTAAACCCTGAACCCTTCAGCCCCTTTGCCCTAAACCCCAAAGCACTGAACCCCAAACCCCAGACCGCAACGCTCTAAACCCTAAACCCTAACTAATCCCCAATGCACTGCACCCCAAACCCTTCAGCCCCGGGCCAGAAGCTCCGGAGGAGACAGCGCCAGGCCGGGAGTGCAGGTGTCCAGCAACTCAGACCTAGGATTCCGACGGTTGATGATAGAAATCCCTAGGATTCCTTTAAAGGGATCTATAAGGATCTTCCATAGGGGGTTTAGGGTTTAGGGTTGATGATATAAATCCCTAGGATTCCTTTAAAACCCAGAGACTCCATTATCCCTTAATTAAGGAATATTCCTTAAATCATATTAGGGATCCTACTATAATTTAAGAAATATTCCTTCATTAAGGGATGGAGTCTCCGGGAAGGGATCTATAGGATTCCTTTAAAGGGATCTATAAGGGGTACCTTCCACAGGGGGTTTAGGGTTTAGGGTTGATGATATAAATCCTGCAATACCTGAAGGGCCCTACACTTTGGGAATTATAGTCTATGCCTTATTATTGGTGATGCAGGATTTATATCATCAACCGTATGGCCCTGGGACCTGACAAGGGATCTATAGGGGCTCCTGTTAAGGGCCACTATTAATAAGGGATCTAGAGGGTTTAGGAACTCTTCTTCAACAACCGGGCCCCAAAAAGCTCAAACTTTCTAAGATAGAGCCGATTTTATATGGCCAAAAAGTTTAAAGTTCCCCCGTTCACCATCTAAGAGACCTGGCTTCCTATGGCCCTAGGCCCTGGGAACAGAGAAATCTTCGACCTCCGCCTCCAAACCAAATTGTAGGATCCAGACTAAGAGCCCTAATAAAGGCCCCAAGGTTTCTTAGTCAGGTTCCTACACCTACTTGTCGGGTATCATGGGGAACTGAAGGTTAACCTTGTGCGGTAGATCGTGATTTTATAGGGGCTATGCTTCCCAGAAAAAGGTTAAAAGGTTACCTACTCTACCTAGGAACCCTAAAGCCTAAACAACTGATTCCTTAAACCCTAAATACCTACTCTACTACTAGGAACCCTCAAGCCTAAATTTCTGAACCCTTAAACCCTGAACCCTGAGAACATGATGCCCTGGGACCGATTGGGGATCGGGGTCTAAGTAGGGGCCCGTAATATATGGGAGTCTCCGAAACTTGGAATCCTTATAATAAGGATCCTCGATTTAGGGTACCATATTGGGGTCCCCTACTTTCGGAAACTCCCATATAGAAGCCTGAAAAGTTCAACTGGGCTTGGAGTTTCCGCAGCCAGGATCTATTCGTCTGGCCTGAAGCATGGCCCACTCGGAGTTCCTTTCACTTCCAACTGGCCTTTTGAATCTATAACGAAACCTTGAGGAATGACAGTACGACGTCGTCAAACACCCTAGGTATACACCAAACTCCGAACTATAAGTAAGCCAGCCCTAACCAGTAATCTATCCTGACTCCATGTCAGCTGCAGGAAAAACACGGGATCCGTCAGACACCCAAAGTGTACACCAAACTCCGAACACAAACTCTAGGCCCCGAAGGGTTAGCCGCCAAGGCCCACTGCAACTCCCACGAGCGCAGTTTAGGGTTCAGGGTTTGAGGGGCTTTGGGTTTAGGGTTTAGGGTTTGAAGGGTTTTGGGTTTAGGGTTCAGGGTTTGAGGGGCTTTGGGCTTAGGGAGCCACCTTCGGCAAGCAAATGCACTTGGGCTCGAAGGGCTCAATGCAGCCTGCAACGGACTGGACAAGACGAAAGAAGGTTACATACTTGCAAAGTATAGTGTACAGTATGGAATAGTACATGGTACATCGTATATAGTACACAGTTCATAGTAAATAGTATATAGCGAAGACGATGTAGCATAATATATAGTATGTATCATAGAGTATAGAACCTAGCAAAGCATAGCATGTTATGATACATAGCATCGTAGCGCACAGCATAGTGAAACAGGGTGCTTTTATAGTGTAGCACAGCAGGGCATATGATAGCTGTGTAATCGATGATGTTGTGTGCAGTGTGCGCAGTGTGTAGTGTGTAGCGTGTCGGGTGTGGTGAGCGTGGTGTGGCGTAGTGCAGTAAAGTATCGAACAGTATAGTATACCATTGATTAAACACCGAAGATTCAAAGATCAGGGTTTGTGGCCGAGGGCGTGCATGGAACATTCCAGCAAGCTAAGGGCAGGCCTGCCCACAGGCTGGTGGCAGTCCCTGGGGATGCGGCATAGGGCCGCAACCTTACACGTGACAAGGCTGACAAGCTCCCACACGCAAGACTCTGATGTAGTAACGTGGCAAATCATTACGAAAACCCGGGCTCTGATTCGGATCTTGATGTGGATCTTACTAAGCCCTTGCGGATGCAGAACCTCGGTTTGCGAAACACGCTCCTCTGTGAACAGAAAAGTGTAAGCAAGGGTCCAAGCGCAATTGCTGAGAGGCGAACCCAGCGGGCGGCACCTGGGTTCATGCAAGGTTTAGGGTTTAGGTGTTGAGGGGTTCGGCTTCAGGGTTTATAAGCATATAGAATATGCACCTGAACACTTAGGCTTGGGTTGAGCTGTCATTGGATAGTGCATGTATTTAGCGACTGTGTTGGGGAAGATCATTACTAAATCTTGTAACCTCAGTACAATACCTTATCCCAAATAAGCTGCCCTTTAAGGACTTGCAAGGCAACCATAATAAGGAGCCTTTCACAAGTGGGTCTCAAACGGTTCAGGTAGGGTTTAGGGTTGAGACTTTGGCATGTGGCTTTACTTGAGTGACGGACCTTTGATTGCAACGCGTGCAAATGTCTCGGCGATGCCAAGACAGAGTCCAGTTGCATCAACTTCGACTATACAGGATGCAAGGAGACACTGATCCGCTCATGCCGGCTACCCTACACCCTGAACCCTACAACCATAAGGCCCGAAACCCTAAATCCTACAGCCTAAACCCCGAAGGCCCTAAATACTAGACCCTAAAACCCTAAACTCAGTAACATCTATATACAAAATCTCTACAATATTCCCGGGCAGCCCTTCTCATTTAGGACCTGCTTCATGGAACGCTCCTCGCCCCTTTTCCTGAACCCTCGTAAACCCTCTGTGCCCTTGCGCCATGAACCCCCCACTAAACCCTAAGCCCTAACACCCTTGACACTCTAGACCCAAGAGTAACCCAGGCATAAAAAGGATCCCCTTTTTGGTTTAAAGGGGCTTATAAGGGAACCTGAACCCTAAAAAAGGGAATAAGGGCCTACTCTGGGTCCTAGCACTTAAACCCTCAAGCCCGTAACCCTGAAGCCTAAACTAACCCCAAGAGAGCTCACTGTCCTAACTGACCTCAGGTCCCCCCTAAACCGCAAACCCCTAAACCTTCCTACTTACCTCAGGTAGCCCTGAGGGTCCAAAGGACCCAATAATTAGGCATTCGTTTGAAGGCTAGTAGCTATGTGAGTTACTATTTTCGAGAGTATATGATAACCAGATACTTGGACCCTTAGGGGTAGTTTCGGAAGCCTAACCCCAAGTCTGAAACCTTCACCTCACCTCAGATACTTTCCTACCTGATATGGGTGGTGGTCAAACTTGGGGACCCGGGTCTCCTTGGGAGTCTCAATATACTACGGCACCTAAAAATTAGAGAACCCAAAACAAGGGACCCTAATTTTGAGAACCGCCCTCGTCGCGTAGCTTCGGAGACCCCCCGATACACCCTAAACCCTAAAACCCCACACCCTAACCCTTCTACAAGTAGCTTCGCGCTTCGGAGGCCCGGACGTGGAGGCTCCGTCTTTCCCTTGGCCATCGCAGACGAACCCAGGCTCCACCTCACCGGGCCACGCCGTTGAAGGACTACATTTATATACAGAGTTTAAGGGTTGAGGAGTTGAGGGTTTAGGGTTTTGGGGCTTGGGGTTCAGGAGTTCAGGGTTTAGGGTTTCGGGTTGAGGGATGTTGAAGGACTGGATTCTGTATCCGTTTAGAGAGCTAGGGTTCAGGAGTTGGGTATAAGGATTGAGGGTGGAGCTTGGGCTCAAGGATTTAGGGTCCACGGTTTTGGATGAGAGTCAGGACGCTCAAGCCTACCTAGACCCTCAGGAGCCTACAGATTTAGAGTTTCGTCATGTCTGTTGTTGTCGCAGGTTCCAATTACGATAACAGTAGTTTGTGTAGGTGTAGAGAAGAAGGGAGGATGTTGCTACAGGCCTACATCACATGGCCAGATCGCATTAGTAATAAGGTTCATGTTCAGGGAGGTTGTCGACATAGCGGCCTTTTACTCCAAACAGGGATGCCCGATTTGTAAAGACAAACCACAAGGAGTGCGCATGCTTCTGAACCCCGAAACTATACCTACATGAAGCCCTAAAACCTGAATCCTAAACTCTGAACTAAACCGTGTGTAAGATCCTGAAGGCCTAAATCTCGGCCCGCCTTGCAGGAAGCATCGCATCCATCGAAAGCCGCTAGGTTCCCGTCATCACACTGCTCCTGGCTAACAGCGATAATCGCAATAAGGCAATGTACTAGTAAGGCGTATTCCTCATGGACAAAAACAGAACAAAGCTACAGTGATAAAAGTAATACGTACTACTGCTTAAATTGCACTGCTCAAAAAACGACGGAAGTAAGAAAAACGAGGGAGATCTAAACGGTCTATTTCCTTCCATTGAAGACTGTCTTCAGATTCGGATTGCACTGACACATTACACTGTGCTAGTGCCTTCCGCTACCTTGGCATATCATCGTGAACTCGTGCGGTGGCTCCTCGCCCACGACCAGACCATCGCCGCAGGCAAACTCGCAGTCCCACATCAGGTATTCATCCTGGGCATCGGACCGCATCCCCGCTACTACCTGAACTCCAATAAGCATTTAAATAGGGTTCCGGTGGTACATTCGGGTCTGCGTTTGCAGGGACCATGAGAGAATCATATAGTCGATATCAGTACGGCTTCATACAAACCTCTACATTAACCCGCTGTCTGGCCTCCTGGAAGAACGACGCAGGTGCTTGCAAGCACATCCACTGACGATGCTGCTAGGAAAGATAAGAACCTAGACCCAAGAGTAGCCTAGGAATAAAAAGGGTGCCCTTTTTGGTTTAAAGGGGCTTATAAGGGAACCTGAACCCCAAAAAAGGGAATAAGGGCCTACTCTAGGTCCTAGGAACCGACGCATTCAGTTATGAAGGTCGGGTCAGAGTTGATGCCTTCTATAAAGAAGCAGCAAGTTCTCGGAAGACTCAGGAAGATACAGACCAATGCATTGCAGATGACCCCGAACCCCAAACGTAAACCCTAAACCTTAAACTTGCAATGCTGGCTTTTGGTAATGATGGTTTAGGGTTGAAGGTTCCAAGTCGGAGGTCGATGTGCGCGTTGTCGTTGCCCCCGCTATTCGGGCTTGCTTCTGAAAGTCTGAACCCGTTTCAGGACAAAGCAGTGATGTTTTAAGTTAACCACTCATTGCCGCCCGATGCGAGAAACCCGAAGCCGCGAAACACAACTCACTTTAAAAGCCCCTTGTAGCAGCCCCAAGACCCTTTAGGGTTTAGAGCAACAATAATCATCATAATAATCGCAATAACCATAATGACACGAAGAATACTAGTAATACCAGCAATGAATGTGCATCAGCACCTTTTTCTCTGCGCCCTCACGCGGAGATTGCCGGTGCGCGAGTGAGCTCGAGCTCATGGGCGTAGACGATGGCGGGCCTCAGAGCTCTTCGCAAAGGAGTTTACAGTACGTAAAAGGGATTAGGGTTTGGGGGGGTTTAGGGTTTAGGGGTTTAGGGTCAAGGGTTGAGGGGTTGAGGGGTTGAGGGTTTAGGGTATTGAGATTTAGGGGATTAGGGCTTAGAGTTTATAGTATAGGGTATTAGGGTATTGAGATTTGGGGTTTAGGGCTTGGGGTGTAAAGTATAGGGTATTAAGGTATTGAGATTTAGGGTTTAGGGGCGGGCTAAGGGTTTATGGTATAGGGTATTAGGGTATTGAGATTGAGGGTTTAGGGCTTCGGGTTTATAGTATAGGGTATTAGGGTATTGAGGGGTTTAGGGGATTAGGCTTTAGGGGTTTAGGGGATGAGGGTTTAGGGTTCAGGGTTTAGGGCTGGAAACCTGATTAAGGCCAAGTAGTGCTGGGATTCCCTATGCATATGATTGAGGCTGTTGGGTTTCCAACTGTTCGGCTTCTACTGTAGGGTATTAGGGTATTGATTGGGATTTAGTGTTTAGGGTTTAGGGAAGGTTATGGCGTTTAGCGCATTGGTGCATCAGGATTTAGGGATACTTAGGGTATTAGGGTATTAGGATTAAGAGATGTTTAGGGTTGGGCTAGTAACTAGTAGGGTTTGGGGTTTGAGGTTTACGGTTGAGGATTGATGGAAAAGGGAACCTGGCTCCTGGCTGTGTTGGAAACAGTTTTACGACATGGAGGTGCCTAGACCTATGCAGAGAGGCCCATACCCCTTCAACAGGGCAGCATTCTGCATGAGATAGAAGAAGAAGAGCCCGCATGAGATAGAAGAGGCAGCATTCTGCATGGTTTGAGGGATGTTTTGAAGCACTTTCTCACAGACGGCTTCCGTTCATGCAGACAGCAGCTGAAACATTCTGGACATTCACAAGACAGGGTGGTCAGGCAGCGTTATCGACTTCATCACAACTGTAGCTCATACCCTCTTCATTAAAACGGTCCAAGACCCTGTAAGACCTACAGTACACCCTTATACAAGACCCCGAGAAGCACACTTAACATCCCACAAACCGGAAAGCACTACAACCTGTCCGATACATAAACCTTCGACCCCTCTAAACCCTAAACCCTAAAGAACATCACACGCAAACCTTGCACCCTATACCCATCCCTGAAACCTGAAACGAAACCCAAAGCCCCCGAAGCCCTAAACTCAGAAACCGCAAACATCCACAAACCCCAAGCCCTCTTCAGTGCCGGACTTGTCGAAGGTGTCGAAGTAGAGCGGGCTCAGAGGGTCCAAGTAGGAGGCCGTGAGGACGTTCAGGCGCAGCTTGTCGGGACCCACTCCTGGGCGCTTACCTTCCTTTAAGGAATCGTTTAAGGGCTCCTTCAAAGGCTCCTTAAGGGGTTCGTTCAAGGGTTCTAGAAGGGTTTAGGGTATAAGGGTCCATGTACCCAAAGTAGTATGTACTTTGGCCTTAAAGTAATCCCGAAACAGGTACATTTTGGCCAAAGTATCTACTGTTTGAGTACGTGGACGTTTGGGGTCAGAAGGGCTCTAGATTCTTGATAGATTCTATAAGGCTTAGGGGTTCTCAAATCTGCATTTTGAAATGCCTAAGCCGTATCCTTTTTAGAACGTGTGGGGTGGTTTAGACAAGCTCTGTACGGCTTGTGTGAGGGTTCTGGACGCTGCATTAGGAAAACCCTAAGCCCTACAAACCTCGAGCCCCAAACCCTACAAACCCTGAGCCTTAAATCTCTAATCCTTTTTCCGCGGAGAGCCCACCCGCGTGCCAGGGAGCGTTGGAAGGTCCGAAAGTGCTGGTAGTTACCTGCGGATCGAACACAGAACAGCACTTACGGATTTAGACTTGGGGTAGTTTGCTTAACACCAAACCCAAATAGGAGTTTCCTATAGCAGGGGACCCTACTATAATGCCCTAAATAGTAGGATCCTTAATCTAAGGACACCAAGATGAGGTACCCCCAATATTCAGAAACTCCCAAATGGAGGCCGCAAAACCTACATTTTTTTGCAGGGTCCCTTTAAATTTCATATTGGGGTTTATAATCACAACCTACAAAAAAAGTAGGGCTTGGTAGTTTAAGGTAGGAACTTTAAAGAATGAAACATTGTATTGTCATGATAACAATGTACAGAACTTTAAGGATTGATCTGTGTCATTTCCATGATAATAATACAGGGAACTTAAAGGAGCGATCTGTTAGTTTCCCATGATAATAACATAAGGAACTCTGGGAATAATCGGAACCAAATACTCGAGCCCTGTCTGATCCACATAACAGGCAAGCAGCAGTTGTATCCTTGAGCAACTCTCGAGGAGAACGTCACCTGTCCTTGGACAAGATGTGGTGAGTAATATAGAGGCCTTAATAAGCCTTAATACTTACCTATACTGTTACTGTTTTGGGGCGTTCCTTACTATAACTATAGTATGATGGGCCCCAAAAACCCTATTCTAATGATGATTAAGGCCACTTGTTATTTGGGGTGGTGGCATCCTGGGAGTCGACGCCATCTCTTTAGAACGAGCGGCGAGTTAGGGTAGCGGCTGGTGCGGGGTTCAGGGTTTCGGGTGAAGATACTTCTTAGCTTACTTGCAATCAACCATCAAGTCTGTTACACACATTATCAACAAGAAGCTTTGCGAAGAGGATTGTACACAACCCTTAACCAATATATAAATATGTATACATATAGAAAATGATGCCTCTGGGGCCATGATTTTAGAAGAGGCGCGGCGGTATTCACTGGACAGGAACAGGTCGGGCTCCTTGCGACAGGCATAGGAGCTGAACACTGAACACACCGCATGCAGAAGCAGTTCCACATTGTTTGTAAGGATCAACCAGGATTTAAGGTTTAGGGGTTCAGGGTTTTGGGTATAAGGATCTTTTGGGAGGAAGACGGGGGGGCCCGAATAAGGACTCGATGAAGGTCTACGCAGGCTTATGTACCCTATACCCCTTATGAATTGTGGTTCCCTTGGAGAAAGAGCCCCAAAATGGATCCTGATCCAAGAAACCAATATAGATCCGAAATTCAATCCCCAAGACCATATCCTAAACCCGGAAAACCATAGGCTTACACCCTCAAATCCTGAAGCCCGAACCCTCGACCTCCTCTCAAACACCCCCCAAGCAAATGCTAAGCTGCAGAAACTCTCAACTCAAAGAGCTCCTCCGAGGCCTGACACGCTAACCCTACAGCAGAATCAGTAGAATCCAAGGGTAAGAAGAGGGATCCTTAATAAGGACCCCGAGGTATATACCCCTAATATAGCTATTATCTAACCATTATATAGCCCGTTATAGGGTAGGGGTCCCCATTAAGGGTCCCTCCTTTTCCCCTTTTGATAGAAGCCAGAAAGTTGGAACATGGGTTTAGGAGGATTAGTGCTAGGATCCCTTGTGCTTTACTTTAGGGGCATGAGGATAGTAATGTTCCAACTTTCTGATACCCTAAAGCTTGCCGCAAAGCGACGTTAGCATCAGACCTTATACTCTCCCAAACGTAGAGCTACATAGCTACTATCCTAAACCCAAATACCTTGTTACTGTATTGGGTCCTTTGGGCCCCTAAGGTAAACATCAAGCCCTAAGTGCCCCCAAAAACTTCGTAAGTATCTCTTTTCGGCTTTTCGGCTCCTCGGAAGGTTGCTCGGAATCGCGGGCATTGACGAAGAGCCTGGCTCAAGCGCGCTTCTTAAAGCTTATGGGCTTTTGTATAGCAACCCCTGTTTTGTCCCTCCTAAACTGTGAACCTTAGAACCCTAAAACCAAAGACCCGTAAAACAACCTTAGGAGGATCCCAACCGAAATCTCTTAATTAACTTAGCCATGAAAGCCCTTAATCGCCTCAAGAAGGAAGCCTACATGCATCCCTCAAAGGAACCCTAAACCCTGAATTCCCTTCTAGAGCCCTTATGGCATCCCTTGCAGGAACCCTTACCGGTTCCGTTAAAGGAGCCCCCAAACCTAAATCCATGAAACCATAGATCCTGGATTCCTTGAAAGGAACCTGAAAAGGATCTGTAAGGAACCCTAAAACCCAAACCCTGCCAGCACCCTTAAAGCAATACTTGTAGGTTTCCCTTTAAAGCCCTCTTGACTATAGAAAGCCCCAAACCCTTCCCGCTAACCTTTGGAACCCCTATAGGTTCCCCTGTAAAGGAAGCCTTATGCTACTACAGACACCCCAAAACCCTCAGGAACCCTTATCTAGACCCAAGAGTAACCTAGGAACAAAAAGGGTGCCCTTTTTGGTTTAAAGGGGCTGATAAGGGAACCTGAACCCTAAAAAAAGGGAATACGGGCCTACTCCAGGTCCTAGTTATCAATTCCCTTTAAAAGCCCTTTCTGCAGCCCTGGCAGCTCCACCCGCTCTGCGTTCTTCGTGGCGAGGAGCCTGGAATGGACTCGGCGGGGTTTGGGGCTCCCTAAACCCTAAACCCTAAAGCCCTAAAGCCCTAAACCCTAAACCCTAAACCCTAAAACCCGTAATGGGAGGCTCTAAACCCGACACCCCTGAACCCTCAACCCTTTGAAGGAGTTCCTTTAAAGGGTCCCTTTAAGGGATTCCTTTTTATGGGTTCCTTTAAGGCTTTAAGGGTTCCCTTTGAGGGGTCCTTTAAGGGGTTCCTTTAAGGGTCCTTGAAGGTATCCTTTTTAAAGGAAACCCCAAAATTGCCCGGAACCCTGAACCACAAACTCTAAAAGCCCGATAAGGGTGCATTAAGGGCTATGTAAGAGTTTTTGGCCAGGGGTTGAGACTAAGTCTTCTAGAAATATCGTTTCGGGCGGGGTGCAGTACATCGTGACCAGTGAGCGATGTTTTACAACTAGAGCCCTAAACTTGGGCTTTGGGGTTTAGGGTCTTAGGGTTTTAGAGCAAAGGCATCTAGGCTTTCAGAGCTTGTCGGTTTAGGGTCAAGGTTCTGGGTTCCCTTTAAGGGTTCTAGAAGACTTTAAAGCACAGGGAGTTGGAGGGTACCGGTGCCATACGCTCTAAGTCTACTGACTAAGGACTATACGGGGACTGTTTTGCTAACAGTTCCTATCCTGTTGCATGTGGGTGGTTGTGAAAATCATGGTCACCTTTTTGGGTACCCTAAATATTAGGTGCCGTATTATAATAAGGACCCAAAAAGGTACCCTAATTTTGACAACCACCCATGCCTCCCTGGTCTTCAAGACCTTTAAGACTTCGGTAGTTGGGACCCGTAACTGCCATCCACAACAGTTTCTGGCGGTACTGTTGATGGTACAAATCCTGCATTACCTTAAGGACCCTACACTATGGGAATTACGGTGTATTCCTTATTATGGGTATTGCAGGATGTATGTCATCAACCGTATAAGGCCTTGCAGATCTTGTCCAGGATCCGTTTCTAAGTCGTCCTAATCCCTAAACCCCAACTCCTAAAGCATCATAGATCGTATCATCTTGCCGATCGACGTCAAAGGATGTGAGAATTTGTCTTGTTAACACCCCCAACCCTAAATCCTAGACCCTCCTGTGAACCCTAAACCCTAAATCCTGAGCTCCGAACCCTGAACCATCATCCCAACACCTAAACTCGAACCCCAAGACGTACACGCTGAGCACCCAGAAGAAACCGAAGGTTGGAGCACTCCGGAAAGCTCAATGCACCCCGTACGTACGGAGGGTTTAGGGTTCAGGGTCCTAGGGTTTGGGGGTTAGGGTTTCATGAGAACAAAAACGGAACATGGAAGCCTGCATATTTCAAAGATAGCTTTGGTGTATATAGTAACATAGATTTTCTGACGAAACCTGCAGGGATGCGATTACCAGCTATTCAGGCTGCTATAACCTGAAATATGCAACACGGTGAGGTTTTGACCCCATCACTACCGGTCCAAGCCCCAGAAGATCAGCAAGGTCTCTGCATCCACCCCTCAACCCTAAACCGTGGTGTGCCGGGGCCTGATCGTGATGCGATTGGGATCACTCTGAGGATTGTAGTCCACGCCTCACTTCAAGGGTTCAGAAAACAATGGATTTCGGGTGTAGTAAGGGTTTTGGACTGGCCTTATCGTAGGGAGCCCGGCTCCCCCTTTCTCTGAAGCCCCCTACTCCTGTCGAGGTGAGGAGCAGTGGAAAAAGGAGGGCTTGCTATACCCTAAGGCCCCAAAGTAGTTCCTTTTTGGGGTTCGTATATAGAATCCTATAAGGTAATCCCAAAAACGAACTACTTTGGGGCCTATGGGTAGAGGCTTTATGACTTCATGCTTGTAAAAATGAAATATTGGTTCCCTTACAGAACAGGTCCCAAGCAGAATATTGAAGCATGGTAGTCGAAGACCCAGAACAATACACTGTGAACTATACGCTCTATTCCCAAGAAATGCTCGACCTGTCGCCCCAAAAAATTCTACGCGGGGTCCGTTTTTACGGGCCCCATCTTTACATATGAGGAAACCCGAACCACCAAAAGCACAAAGGATCCTTAAATCCTAAATCCCGAGCCATAAACCCTAAATCCTAAACCCTGAGCCCTCGACCCTGCACCCTAGCTAAACAACTCTGGATGCATGCTGCAGCCAGGGCACTCGTAATTCGGCCCTTGCCTGCGGCCGTTTAGGCTTTACAGTGTCGGGAGTAGGGCAGGGTTTAGGGTTAATGGGTTACTGTGTGTGTGTGTGTGTGTGTATGTATGTGCTGTGTGTGGAGTTTCAGACATTTCGGGAATTCTGCTGTGTGTCTTTAAAGGGCTTTATAAGGGTCCGCTGCGGGATCTCCAATGATTTGTCGGGCGGGGTTAGTGCGCAGGCTGAAAGAACAATGAACCCTCAGATAAACCCTACATCACAGTGGACTCCTTAGAGTTACTGACCACTTCGCTAAGGCAAGAAACCTCACATGCACGAGCAACCTCCCTTTTCACTGCTTCTTTGTCCTGATAAAGCCCTTCTAGAACCCTTCAAAGAACATTCTGAACCCACCAGAGCCCGATTGCATCAGACGGTTGAAAGGTGTTAGTGGTATACCGGGCTGGGTTTCGGTGTTATAGGGCTCAGGGTTTTGGCGCTGGAGTTTATGATTTGCATGTTTAGGTGTTTACTGTGTTAGAGCTAAGGGCTTAGGGTTCCCAACCTCCCAAGTGAGCAGCCACCGAGGAGCCTCAGATGGCACAAGGCTGTTGATAGAGTGGCTCAAACCTTAGGGACTATACTACCCACAAAAGGTTAAAGGCTACCTACTCTACTACTAGGTAAAGGAACGGACAAGGGTTCCCCTGAAAGAGATCTATAAGGGGTACTGTAAGGGTTGTTCTACGGGGTTAGTATGGAGCCTCAGCGAAACAGAGTATGGCCAATAGAGTGTAGTGTCTTGGGCTACGTTGTATTCTACCTGGAATAACGACCAGAAACGGATGCTGTTACAAATTCTTCCGGTGTCGCCTCTCTGTTTCGGTGCTTGGTTTTAGGAGTCAGGATTAGGAGTTGAGGTTTAAGGCTTGGGTTGAATAGCGTCTAGGGCTCAGAGTCTATGACACTATGGTGTGCTGTTGCTGTCATTGTTGGCAGGAACTCAATCTGAATCTCAAACAAACACACACACACACAGACATACAGGAGGGGCCTTTCCGCTCCTTGGCGAAGAGTCTAGGGAAGGCCTGGTGCCTGACATGTTAAGTTACAGGTCGGGTGGCGAGCTTTTCTCCAATGAGGTAAAAGGATTGCATGATGGCAGTGGAAGTTTAAAGCAAGACACAAGTGCCGACAGTGCTATAGTCATTCTAACTGCAGTCGCTTTACCTATAGTCCTATGTATCGGTAAACATGATCTTGACTTGAACTAGCATGCTCAGACGAACCTCAAGCCTTGACTTGAAGTAGCATGCTCAGACGAACCTCAAGCACGAACCGTAATCCCAAAACCCTAAATACACCTCTGAGGCATCATAAGCAAAACGACGCATGTTCAACATAAGCAATGGGTGCTTGTCAAAATTATGGCCCCTTTTTGAGTCCTTCATATAATACGGCACCTATTATTTAGAGTACCCAAAAAAGGGGCTCTAATTTTGACAACCACCTCAATGAGCTTTCGAGATCCTGCAAACACTTGTTTGGCACACCCTCTAAACCCTTCAGTCCAACGGACAACCGTTAAACCTTGCAATACCCCAAAACCCTGAAACACTTAACCCTAAAGCCCTGAACCCTTAGTGGGCTGCCCAGAAACGCAGGTTGAAAGGCAAGTCTTCAACAACGACACCTGCTTGGAGGATCATGGGACTTAGAAGTAAGGGTTGTTAGGCTTTAGGGTTTAGGGTTTGGAAGACTGGGTTCTTGTCGACGAGCTTATTTTATGTGTTATGGTAAGGAACCCCCGAAACAGTATAGGTAACTATTAAGGCTCCTACATGAAATCTTACCAAGAACCCAGCAGGAGTCCGACGAACTGTTCAAACACGTTTCATGTCACAGGTCTAACAGGAATGCCTGGAAAAACCTTTGGGTGGTACATTATGCTGGATATAAGTATCATAGCTCTCCTAGGGAATTATATTAGTAATGGCTTCGGCTTATAGTTATACGATCAAGCATCCCGGTGGAGAAGGAAATTGCCGGCCTTGATCTTTCACGAAGCTCATGTTATACCTCACGGCGGAGGGAAAAGCCAGGAAATTGTATCTGGGGTCTCTCGCAGGTGAGAGGCCTGAGAATGTGATCCTTAGGGCTTCAGGGTTTGGCGCTCCGAACCCGTGGGCTGCAGAAGATGCTGCAATTCCACTCCAAAAGACAGATCAACCCTACACCGACCTGATCGCATGACCGTAAACCATCAACCCTAAACCCTTACCCGTATCCCCCAACGCTTGGCTTCGAGAAAGATCTTTCCTCCCGGACAAGATACTCGAGCGGCGACTTGCCCACATCAGCGAAATCAATGATGGAGCATTTCCTGAGCCCTATAGACCCTAAACCACGACTCCTGCAGCACCCCTCAACTCTACACTTTCTGGGAGTTTCCGAAAATACGGGACCCTAACATAGACTGTAAGGTTCCTTTAAAGGGATCTATAAGGGTTCCTTTACGGGTTTCTATAATTGTTTAAGGTTTAGGGTTGGGAGTTTCCGAAAATAGGGTAAGACCCTACTATAGTACCCTAAATACTAGGATCCTTGCCATAAGGACCCCCAAATAATAAGGTTATCGGAAGCTCCCCTATTGGTGGTTGTAGTAATTCGGTGGCTCTGGGACCCCCATCAACACTACAAGAGAACTGAAAAGGAACCCGGGATCTGGGGTTGAAGCTTTCAGAGAAGGGGTTTAGGAGTTGGGATTTAGGATATTTAGGGTTGGGTGGCTTCAGAGACCGAAACCTAGGCGAGTTGGGGCCGAACGTAAATCCGAAACCACAAAACCCAGCCAGAACACAACATGTTTTGAAGTACCTTATGTAACTGATAAGCCTCATAACCTATAATCCGGATTAAGAAGCTCATAGCCACAAATACAGACCCGAGGCGAGGGATCCAGTTGCAGGCTCCGAAGTCTATTGAACCTTGCACACTACTGAACCCCAGCAGATGCACCCTGATGGTTTAGGGTTTCATGGTTGTCCTAAGCCCTGAGACCCCGAAGCCTTGAACTGAACAGAACACATAGAAAACAGCTAGAGTTACGCGCGTCTACACAGCCCATGTCCAACCCGCAATCACCCCAGAACGACCCAGACCCCCGGGAGGATCTTGAAAGTAGATCCCTAATTTGGGGCCCTATACTACTAAGGGTACTTTATACGAGCCCCCATTAAGGGATCTACTTTTTGGATCCTCCCGGGGGTTCGGGGGAACTGTCTGAGTGCTGCCGGAAGGTCTTGAAGCCAGGCACATCATCCTGGCAAACTGGCAGGTTGTATGCAACCTATAGTCTCCATTGTAGTTCCTTTTTGGGGTTACCTTTCAGGATCCTTCATATAAACTTGGTTAAACAAAAAAAGGAACGACAATGGAGACTACAGGAAGGTTATGTCGGGCTTAGGGTTTCGGGTTTAACCCTAAAGGGGTTTAGGATTTCGGGCTCAAAATATAAGAGCCCTAACCCGTAAACCCCAAGACTGTGTGCTGTGGGGTTAGATTGTGTGCTGTGGGGTTAGCAAGCTCCCACACAACCTTACCTTCTGGGGCTACATCACAAAATCCTATGGATACATATACATACATATATAACTTCATAGAATGTGTATAATGTACACATGTATGTATGTATATATATATATATATATACATAAATAAATATGTATATATATATATATATATATATATATATATAGAGAAAGAGAGAGAGACGAGAGTTGGTTAAACCGAATTTTGAACTACAACCCAAACTTTAGGTACTTCCCCATAGTGCACCTCTTTCCGTGGCCTTGCCCGAACTTGTCGAGGCGACCACGCGCAGCGTTTACGAGTAGTTGCTACCCCAAGAGTCTTTTTCGGCTTAGGGTTCTGCTTTGAATTTTGGGCCTTAGGCTAGGATTTACACAGGTGGTCGGTGTTTTAAGCGTAAGGTTTCAATTTTAGGGCGAGCACTCGGAGACTAGGAAGGCAGGAAGGAATTCGAAAGGGCTGAGGTCAAGTTTGAAGTTTGAAGAGCATGAAATTGTCTTCATGGAGATCCAGGAGAATTCTAATCTTCCACTGCACACATTGAAATCCGATGAAGTAATATGACGGCCCTAGTAATTTACCTATACTACTTTGGGGGCTCTTTATCGCAATTGCAGTAGAATGGGTCCCAAAACCTTCTTCTAATTCTTAAGGCCCCTAAATTACACGTCGGCAATGGCTTCGGCACGGCGGCACGGCAGGTGCGACACATCGGGTCGGCCAGCGCCACTGACGCCTGGCGGTTTGTCCGTGGCTCCCGGCACTCCTGGGCCACCTCTGGGTGCTTCAGCGATGGCACGTCGCCAATGCTGCAAGCGGGCAGTGCCTGCAGTGCACCTTTGGCTGCTGGCCAAAAAAAGTCTCGAGCCGTCGGAGCGTGACAAGTTGCGGATTCCGGATTACTGCTATCCTGATTTGCCAGAACGTGAGTGGTATCCACGTAGCAAGGTGGATCATCTTTACCAGACACAAAATTTTCAGAGGCTCTACCTCCTGACCGACGATCAGATGGAGGATACTAGCGGCAGCTTCGCGCGCTTTTGGATAGCTGGCCTGCCAGCACATCGTCGCAGAGCCGTGGCTGGACTGACTGGCAGCACACTCCTGCTTGCTTAGCCCATGCTTAGCCCCTTTGACTGTGCCGTGAATCATTGATTGCTTCGTTGAGCCGTCACTCCGCTTTGCAAAGCTGGATTTATATTGGTGCCTTGTTTATTGTTCTGCAAAGACTTAATCCTACATGGAGGTCCAAATGGGTACGCCAGGAAGTCCTACATGGGGCTCCAAATGTTTCGGGCAGGCCTGAACCGCGGGTGAAGCCATCCGGGCTTATTGGCGTACTGGATACCGAGACGACCCAAGCGGACTTTTTGCGCAAGACCTCACCCCTCACTTGTCTGTTCGTGGCACTCGTGGTGCTACTCTCCTCTGCCATCGTTGGAAAGAAACAGCAACTGGCAAACCGTAAGCCACCAACACTACGGACCCGAAGCTGGATCACACCCGAAACCTGGGCATCTGCGAAACCCGCATATCGGAACCCCTCCGGCAATGTGCTATGACGCTATGACTGAAATTATTTACCAACGATTGGCTCGGGTGTGCTGGCCCGCAGCGACCATGTTGATAGCGGCCGCTGCAAGGTCCATGCCGAAGGGCCCCAAAATGGTGCCGCCTTCGGCTGTGGCTGCAAAGTCGCTGTGGCAGCTTTTCGTTTTACCCAGGGATCTGCGCCATTTGGTTTGTTTGCACACCTCATGCAGCAGGGCCGCTGCCGAAGGATCACCGGCAGCAGCTGCCAACCGCTGCCAGTCCTCGGCTGTTGTTGGAGGCCTGTTGAAGATTACAAGCGCGGCTCCTGCTGCCACAACAACAGCCACAACGACCACCACACCGGTACCACCTACTTCTTGCGAAGATACTACAGAACTATCATGTGGTTTGTTGTATGTACGGCCTAGGGTCGAAGGTGTCGGCGTGGCGGAGTCCCAACTCTGCCACTTCAGCCGCAGGCATGTCCTTAGGCTTCGCCGGTATCTGGACCATCATTCTGCCGGGGAGCTCCGCATTGCCTTGATGTCAAGACTTGTGGGGGTGGCTGCGTCCCGGCATGTTGGGCTCGCCTTACACCCTCACACAGTCAACATAATAAAACCACTCAAAGTCCTACAGATCCTTCCAGGGTCCTTCAAGGGTTTCGATAAGGGCTGCACAGCCTGTTCCTTCAAGGGGAAAGCATCTAAAACAATCCTTGATGTCTGCCCTTTTTGGACCTCTTATGGCAGAAACCATAAACCCTGCACCATTAGTCTTACAAGCCTTAAACGGCAATTGAACGGTAGGGTGGCTCCCTACACCCTACTGTAGGGTTGAGGGATGTTTGTAGGGTTTAGGATGGTTTAGCGTTATAGGGCGGCTCCCTAAACCCTACACGCCCTACACCCTAAAACCCTACAGCAGAATCCTGCACCCCTTGTTTGTCCTACTTGTCGGGTATCATGTGGAACTAAAGGTTAACCTTTTTGGTTATATAGGGATTGTACAGGGACTATAGGGACTGCACTACCCCAAAAAGGTCAAAGGTTACCTACTCGACTATATACCTATAGTCTCCATTGTAGTTTCTTTTGTTTGGTTATATAGCCAGTTTTATGGTTAGGATCCTGTAATAGAGATTTTGGTTAACCAAAAAAGAACTACAATGGAGACTATAGGAAGGTTGTGCCTGTCTCATGACCTGTGCTCGCGGCAGGGTGGGGAACTCGAAACCTGGGCTTAGAAGGCAGCTTTGATAGCTAGAGCCAAGCTGTATACGGGTCGCGCATGCGTTTGTGTAGGCTTCTTCGGGGTTATTTTGCGATATATATATATATATATATATATACATATCTATATATATATACATATGTATATATACATACATACATACATACATACATACATACATACATACATGTGTATATAGATACATGTATACATATATATATATATATATATATGGTGTTACCAGGTTTTGTGGATTTTTAGAGCTAGTAATAGTAGAGTATAGTAGAGGCGTGTTTATGTGGAGTTGCGTTTTATACGGGTTCTGTGAATGTTTACAGGGCTCGTACCAGCTCGGGCTATAAATGGGTAATATAGCGGCCTTAGTAACTACAATCTAGGGTTTAGGGCTTAGGGTTTTAGGGTAGGGTTTTGGAACCCCTTTTACTGTCATTATAATAAGGCCCCCCCCCGATAGTATAGGTAATTCTTTAGGCCCCTATCGGCTTGATGTTGAAAGACAGAGTTGCATACGTGTTTTGGGGTTTTGGATAGGGACCTCAACAACAAGCATAGTTTGAAGCGGCAGGCTAAAGAGAATATGCATATATACATATATATATATATATATGTACGTACACACATACAACAGCTCTGTGAATCGGGCCTCTACATTAGCGTCTCTGTCTGTGCTTTGTTTTGTTTGTTTTGAACTGCCTCTTTTCGGTGGGGTGAGGTTCAAATCTTCTTTCGAGAGCCCTGAGACCCCGAACCGAACACTGACATCTCCAGTAGCCGTGAACCATGAACCTGCATGTAGTACTTAGAGGCTCAGGGGACTTAGCAAGTAGGCTATAAGTAGGGTTATAAGTACCCTAAATGGAGTTACCCCAACTATAACCCTACTTACTAAGCCCCCTGGGCCTCCGAGAAGGGCTTGTAGAGTGTAAAAGGTTTTGGGTTTCGGTCTAGGGTTATAGTAAAAGCCAGAAAGTTGGAATACGATTATCCTAAACCCTTTATGGTAAATTGTAGGGTATCCTACCCTGAAACCATATTCCGACTTTCTGGAGTTCCCTTTAGGGTTAGGCCTAAACCCTAAACCCTAAACCGTTTTTTTTAAGTGCAATGGTGACCAGACGGCTCCCTGCTCGTACGAGCATACACTGATCCCAGACGCCATCGTCAGTGCTGGGGTTTACACTTTATACTTAGAATAGGGTTTTGGGGCCCGTTATACTATAACTATAACAAGGAACCCCCAAAATAGTATTGGTATATTATCTAGGCCCCTATGGTATCTGTATTATTCATGGAGCTTCTGAGTAACCTAGGAGTACTTGGGGGGTCGGGGGACTTAGTAAGTAGTTAGTAAGTAGACTTATAAGTACCCCATTAAAGGGACCCTAATTGGGTTATAAGTCCCTAAAATAACCAGTTACTATGTCCCCCGACCCTCCAAGTAGGGCTTAGGGTCAACATGAACTTAGAAGGCTCCCGCCCCCAAGCACACAATCAACTCCCAAGCCCCGAGGTGCCAAAAAGAAACAAACCGACACTAAACCCCCAAACCCAGAATCAGAACCCTCACTGGAGACCGTACAGTTCCCTTCTATGGAATACTAAAGTGTCAAAAGAAAGTCTTCCTGCCGGGAGGCCTGCGAACGTCGAAGTGGCCTGCCAGCTCCCTTCCAGCCAATCAGGATAGACCTGTAGATCCAAACAAGGGCTCAGATTCTTGTGTTTTAGGATTCAGGGTTTATGTTGAAGGCTGCGCATCGCAAAATCCACTGCTTTCTGGGTCTGAGGGCTTATTCTTCTAAGGATATGACTTACTGTGACAAAGGTTAGACCCTCTAGTCAAGCGGCCTGAACCGGATGGGCTTCTCACGAATCAGGCCGCGAAAATACACGTCACCCCCGATGCTCCTCAATCCAACAATCCCCTGGAAAAAGATAACGGCTAGACCCCAAACCCAAGCCCACAAAATCCTACATCCCAAATCCCTAACTTTGTCCTAACAACATCGAGAAACCCCTGAACTCCAAGAACGTGCAAGTTTCAACGAAAGCGACAGTGCTTGGAATGGCCTGTATAAGGGCATTGAAACGCGTTGCAGGGCTTCCTGGGTGATAAAAGAAAGGCCTCAATAGTGTTAACCCCAAGCACAATGAAACCACAAGTATGTCAAACAGTCTCTTGGAGTTATCAAGCAAGAAAAAAAGCATCATAATAACTGTTCTTCTGGATCAAATAAGTCAAAAATTCAGCACTAAGGGAATCGGGCGGGGCGGGAGCTCTTTTGGCAGCCGCCTGCTGCTTCGGCGGAATGTTGAAGATGGGCGAGGTCAGCTCACGCCCGCTCCTGGAGGACTTCTGCAAACGGGTTTCGTCAGTTTAGGGTTTAGGGTTTAGGGTCTACCTATAGTCTCCATTGTCTTTAAAGGGGTTTAGGGTTCCTTTCAAGGGGTCTAAGGTTCCTCTAAAGGGGTTTAGGAGTTTAGGGTTTAGGGTCTACCTATAGTCTCCATTGTAGTTCCTTTTTGGGGTTACCTTTTCGGATCCTTAATTTGGTTAAACCAAAAAGGGAACTACAATGGAGACTATAGGTTAACTTTAAACCGCAAGCCCCCACGCCAAAAGCGCCAAAACCGCTGAACCTCGACCTCCCTATACAGCCGTGCGAACCCCATCTGTAAAACCTGCCAAAACCGTCCAAAGCTCGGAACTTGCAGACCTTTACAGTAGCCCTACATACAACCCCTCTGAAAAATCCCGAAAGGAACGCTGGCAGGCCTTTTTTGCAGGAGCACCCTCAGCGCGGCTTCAGCGGGTAGCGGCGCCCCCAAGGCGACTGCTGGTGCCAGGCCTCGGAGTGTCGGTTTGTTTTGGGGCTTCCGTTTCCATAAAATCCTCTATGCGGGCTCCGAGGGCTTAGGGTGTTGTGGTGTTATAAAGTTGAGTCTGGCTCCGTGATTTAAGTGCTTCCTTCCTCTCAAAGGGTCGATGAGGGCTCTACACATAATTAGTCTCCATTGTAGTTCCTTTTTTTGGTTTAACCAATTTTATATTAAGGATCCTTAAAGGAAACCCCAAAAAAGGAACTACAATGGAGACTATAGGTACAATTTGAGGATGTTTGGTGTGCTGGGGGATTGGGGCTTAGGGCGTTACGGGTGACGGGGCTAAGCCTTGAAGTGCTGAGCAGGCTGTCTGCCTGTCTGGCTGTTGTAGATACTGCTGTGTGTATACATACATGTTTACAGTGTTTACATATGTATATGTCCATAGATAAACATGTATGTATATATATATATATATGTATTTATACACGTAGATGTACAAGTGTGCAATGGTTGTAGGCAGAAGAACTGCATGTATGTGTTAATAGCATGTGCATATGTATTGCTTTGTGTTGCTCATTTGTGTACATTGACGTATATAAATATATATATATATATATATACTACTACTACTACTACTACTACTACTACTACTACTACTACTACTACTACTACTACTACTACTACTACTACTACTACTACTACTACTACTACTACTACTACTACTACTACTACTACTACTACTACTACTACTACTACTACTACTACTACTACTACTACTACTACTACTACTACTACTACTACTACTACTACTACTACTACTACTACTACTACTACTACTACTACTACTACTACTACTACTACTACTACTACTACTACTACTACTACTACTACTACTACTACTACTACTTGCTTAAGAACCCCCACCCCAAAAATAAAAAAATATAATCCCTATGTTATCACTATAAGGAATATATTTTTTATTTTTGGGGGGTTCTTAAGCAAATAGTATATATATATATATACATGTATAGAACCTGGGACCGATCCTACAGTGGAATAGAAAGTAGGCAGTGCATGTGTTCGACTTTCCCAAATCACTCCTTCTCTTAGGGCTTACCTGGACCTACCTTTTGAAGGACTTCTAAAAAAGAAAAACCACACGAAGGAACTTAAAAAAGGTAGGTTCTTTAGGGCCCGGGAAAGGCTTAGGATTGGTTATGCGTCGTCGCACACTACCGCACTGCTTTTTAGCCAAGCCTCGGAGCAGGTTGGACCTCTCAAGCGGCGAGCGGCTTGGGGTTTGGGATGGGTTTAGGGTTCTAGGATACCCAGTAACCTAGGAATAAAAAGGCCTCTCTTTTTGGTATTGGGTAACTTTATAAGGAACCTAGGACTACAAAAAAGGAATAAGGGTACTACTGGGCATCCTAGGGTTTAAGGGTTTCGCGTTTCGGCCTTCGGGTTCTGTGCTTGGGTCTGTTGGGGTTTGGGTTAAGGTTAAGGATGGCTTACCTATAGTCTCCATTGTAGTTCCTTTTTGGGGTTGCTTTTTAGTATCCTTAATATGAAGTTGGTTAAACCAACAAAAGGAACTACACTGCAGACCGTAGGTAGGGTTTGGGTTTAGGTTTTGGGGCTTTGGCTTCTTTGGGCTTGGGGCTTTCTGGGTTTAGGGCAGTTTAGTGCATTTCGGGGTTTGGGTTTTGGGGGTTTAGGGTGTTTGGGTTTAGGGCGGAGTCGTGCTGCTGATGGGCAAACCTTCCTAATATTGACTGTAGTACCTTAAACTGCCCGTACCTGTGGGAAATAGGGGGTCTGTTCGTCATCAACTCTATGGTAAGCTTGCAACGAAACAGTACACCCAGAATACCTATGCACGGTGTCGACCTGCAGTCACCTTACAGTAACCCTGTCGCGAGCTTGCGGTAAACCCGAAATACCCCTGTAAGCCCGGGACCAAACCGTTCAATAAGCCCGGCCGTAATTACGTAAGAAACTACCAGAAACTTCCATTAATGCTGCAAGGGAGTTTCAATACACAAAAAACCTTTTATGTGATCCTCAGCATAAGCAACCCCCCAAAAGGCAAAGAACGACTTGAACCTGTCCCTAACCTTAAACTCTAAACGAGCCTGGGTCTCAGCAGAGACAGCGCCGTCTGCATCCGCTGGCCACTCCTCCGTCTCATGCAGCTAACAGCGGGGCTCATGTGTAAGATTTAAGGGACTCTGAGCATTCTAAGTCGCAAACCTTAAACCCTTAGCAAAAAAACGATTCTAAATCCTAAACCCGTAGAAGACAGAATAGGGCTCTTAGGGGGATTCCATGAGGGCTAGCTAAAGAGGCGATTGAAGGTCCTCGGACGGGAGGCCTGGGCTTCAGGCTTTGGGATTTCTATACTGAACTTAGAACCCCAGCAAAAATTCTAATTTTAGCTGTTTCTTAGGGATTATAATAACAAAAAAATAACAAGTATTTCTTACTAACCCTAAGATTTGGGCTCTTTGGTCTGGGTTGTACGGCTAAGGATTTTGGCGTTTAATGTAGCAACCTGATTAAGAAACCCTGGGCCTATAGCCTATAACCCCAAAGTAATCGGATTCATATAAGGAACAAAGGCACGAGGTTTCTCAATCAGGTTCCTACAGTTGGGCTTTAGGGCTTAGGCTTCGGATGTTCAGCTTCCAAGGGTCCATGCTGCTATTGCCATCGCTGCCAGCAGCAAAAGCCTTGACCGTGTCGATGCTTGGCGGGCCATGGCGTAGGATTTTCTCGATGCCCAGTAACCCTAGGAGTAATAAAAATAAAAAGGGTTTCCCTTTCTGATATTGGGTAACTCTATAAGGGATCTAGGACTACGAAGAGGGAATAAGAGTACTACTGGGCATCCTAGTTCTACACGAATAGGGAAGCCAAAAGGGTCCTTGTTGTAAGGACTCCGATATTCTAAAGTACCCCCCAATCTAGCAATCTCATGTGCGGTGCCGTCGCTAGATATAGCAGTGCTCACATCTGCTTGGAGTGTATCTTCACTGTGACTGCTCCATGAAACCATGCTCTTGAACCCGATTCCTACAGCCTTAAACCCGCTATCCGAAACCCTAAGCCCTAGTGTTCTTCCATTGATGTCGAAGCTTGTCTGGCAAATCGCAGGGCAGGCATCTGAACATGAACGCTACACTATCTGGCACCAACACGAGACAGAACCCCCAAGGCCTAAATCATCCCTAAACCCCTGAACCCTCTACCCTACAGTAAGTCTTGAAACTAAACCTTTGAACTCTAAGCCCTCTGCCCATGAACCTTCGCAGGTGCAACCTTTGTTTCCGCCGAGTTCTCTGCGAAGACCCGAGCCCGTCTTGTCTTTCTTCACCAGAGCCTTAATCTCGCTAAGCCCCAAAACCTAGAATGACCATGCACGATCTGTGCCTTTGCGAGGTACCAGGCTACACAAGTCACGGCTCCAGAGCTGACGGCTCCAGGGCTTTAGGGCTTTGGCGTACATTCTACAATAGTTATGTAAGGGCCTGAGGGCCTAACCTTTAGGCCAAACTCTCGGTCAATACCTAAGGTTTCGAGTTTAAGGTAGAGGTTACGGCTAAGGGTTTTGAGTGGTGCTCGGGTTGTTGGGCTAAGGCTCCTGAGAAGGTTAGGGGCTTTGTGGGCGAGGGTTTGGGCTTTGGGGGCTACGGTTTAGGATCTCACTACGAGGGTCCAGGAGCATTAGGGTGGGCTATGCTTCGAGGATCACTTCCCAAGCATGTCGGAAGAGTGAGAAGTGAGACGTCCAACATCTCAGGGCCAGAGCAATCTGCCAAAACGTCAAGGGTCCAAGTACCTAAAAATCGAAATCCTAGCCTACATAACTACTATCCTAAAACCGAGTACCTAATTTTTTTGGGCCCTTTGGACCCTTATAGGGCAACGTCTCGGGTTGAGGATCTCGGGCTGAGGGTTTAGATTACAGGCTCTGAATTCCGGATTTAGGCTGCGGGGCTTAGTTTTGGGGTTTGTAGTTAAGAGGACCTCTCTAGCAAATTTCCCGGTAGTCTACACTGGCATCGAACTTGGCCTTTCGCACGATGTGGCTGTGGCCTGAGGAACTCGTATCACTGTGAGACCAAGAGAGGCAGCGAGGCTGCATGTACAGTGCATGCGCGTGCAGATGCGGAGCAGGACGGAATTCTGCCGCTCAGCTCACACATCTTTGGCAAATGCCTCGCAACTGCCGCCAGCATGGAGAAGCTGCTTGCGGGCAAACATGGCCCAAGCCTCGCCTCTCAGCCCTGAATCCTACCTATAGTCTCCATTGTAGTTCCTTTTTGGGGTTACCTTTTCGGATCCTTAATATAAAGTTGGCTAAACCAAAAAAAGGAACGACAATGGAGACTATAGGTAAACCCCCCAAGCCCTGTTAAACCCCAAACCCTGAAGCTGGGGCAGCTGCATTGTAGGCTTCCTGCATCCGCTTCTTCCTCTCACAAAGGCGTTCACACTGGCACTTTCGTTGCGACTTGATGATGGGCTTCGGGCTTACACGAATGCAGAATAGGGCGTAAGTACAGCAACTTGTACCTATCCATCTGTCTTCCTGCCCCAAGTGTACAGCCATCTCGACGCACACACATACGGAGAGAGGGAGAGACAGATCGGTACACAGGCATTTTTCGGCAAACTTACAGGTTGCCAGCTCTGAGTTTTGAATGAAGCGGCCACAGCTATTTGATGCATGTGTTCATCTATGTTCCCCAGATGCCGCTTGATAACACGGGTAACTTTTCCTGCTATTCAAGTTGAATGAGGGACCCCCTTCCAAAGAGCACACTTCAGCAGAATACTCGGGAACCGGCATAGACATGGAATCTTTCCACATATCCATGACTCGCTTGCATGTACACCTCTTGCACATATCTATGTGACTATGTGCATGTATGAGTGCTGACGTATATATATCTGAAGCTACACTTACTCGCAGACTCAGCTAATACAGGGGCCTTAACACTTCGCATGGGCTTGGGGGGTATAATATACCATAATTGTAACACGGAGCTCGCAAAATAGTAAGGTAATCATTGAAGCTCCCTCATTATGCGAAACATGCCAACGTCTAGTGCAAAGCGTTCGAGCCGAACTCGCGGCAGCTCCTGGCAAGATCACCTCAACCCCGAATGCAGGGTTTAGAGTTTAGGGGTTTCGGGCTTAGGGCTTCGGGTTTGGGGCCTTAGTAGAACCCAAAGAACCCTTAACGCCAAAACCCTGTGGGGCTGCCTCCCCGGGTCGATCATCAGCGGCTGCGGTATGTGGAGGAAATCCTTTTCTTATCAGGGATTGACACTCGGCGGGTGTGACAAGGACCGAACAATCTGAGGGTTTAGGGTCTATATGGGCGTTTAGGGGTTTGGGGTTGTTCAGGTCAGAATATTTGGAGCGTATAGTATATGGTGATGCGGGGAAAGAGACTGTCAAAGGGAATCTACAAGCGGGGCTCTTGTCCTGGAGCTTCATTCAAACTAGCCCAGCTCAATGGCTTTGAGAGCTTCATAGGGAGTCTCAAGAACTTAACTTCGGTTGCCACATCGAAGAAGCAAATTACTCACTGTCCCAAGCCCTAAAGCTCAACGCAATTGAGGTAGCTGCCTTGGTGCTGAGGGGTGTTGATATGGGGATTAAGTTGTGCAGTATCCTTAAACCCTAAATGCTAAGCATTTGGTGCTTTGCTAACGGTTTCCAGGGCATCAGCTTCGCGGCTTCGAGTCTTGGTTTCAGGCGTTGCGCGGGGGGTCATGTCAACTAACCTTGAAGGACTCCTTGGAAGAACCTTCCCCAAGGGTCCAAGTACCCAATAATCATATACTCTCCAAAATCTTAGCCTACATAAAATAGTATCTTAAAACCGAGTACCTAAACATTGGGTCCTTTGGACCCTTGGGGCTTATTGTAGATCCCGTAAACGAAATTCTCAACCCTAGCACTCACCCCTGCTGTGTCCTGCTTCTGTGCGAGCGCTGCCTCCAATCGACCAGCTTTACCCTGATGTTCAGCTATGTCCTCACTTCAGGCTCCAGGATTTAGGATTCTAATTCGGATTTAGGGCTTTTGGGCTCATAAAGTTTGGAGTTTAGGGTTCATGCAGGGTTTAGCATTCGAAGTGAGGGATATCTACCTAGACCCCGCAACTACCATCTATTATACCCCATATACCCACTATCGGAGGCCATAAGGACTCTGTTAAAGTGCACTAGGCTAAAAACCCTAAACCCTCAACCCCCCTAAACCAAGGTTATTTTCGGTTTCGGTTTGAGACTCAACGATCGGTCTCGTGGTTCGTGATTCAGAGCTTAGGGCGTAAGATATCTGTAGGGTCTAGGCTAGGGCGGTTAGGGCTTACGGCTCTGGGTATGCAGAGTTTAGGGTGGAGGCTTTTATGTATAGGACTTTAAGATTTAAGACTTTAGGCTCCGACTTCAGGCAGCGCAAGAGTCCTTCATCCTCTGCGTCATCTCGATGCCCTCCTGCGACCATGTTTGCTGAAACGGCTCAGGGTTTAGGGTTTGGTGCTTCGGGGCTTAGGGCTTGCGTCTTAGGGTTTAGGGTTTGGGGCCTAGGGTTGCACCCTGAAAGCCGCAAAGACGTGAACCAAAAACATGCGCAACGTCTGCTTTGCTGCAAAGACTAATTTCGAGAGCGCCAGGAGCCACGACCTCACGACAAGAATACTGAAGTCTGTCATGACCTATCTAGCAGCCAAGCGACAACAAGCACGATGAGGCAGAAAAGACAACAGAAGCTTGCTGTGGTGGCTACAACACAGCAATAAAGGACCCCTGATGCAGACCCCAAATTGAATGAGCTTTGACATTGAACTGACCCTCACACCAAAAACAGTAGAGGACGGCTGCCTTGTCTCTCAGACTTTTGAACAACAGATTCGCCACAGAGGAAACTTTCTCTGCATTGGCCCAGTCCTCGGCATGCTGCACGCGAAAAAAGCTGTTGCAATCTGGTTTCGGGCTTAGGGTTGCAATCTGCGACGCCCCCAAAGCCACAATCGCACCACTCAAAATTTGCCTAAAATCTCCTGGATGGCGACTTGTCTTTCGCCAGCTTTAGAAGGAACAACGTGGAGAGTGCACATCAAACCCCAAAGCCTAAACCACAAAACACAACTCTAAAATCCCAACATCCTATGTCCTAAATTTCAACATCCTGAAACCCTATAAACCCCCAAACCAGAAGCCCTAAACCCCGAAACTAAACCCCAAACCCAAAACCTGCCATTGAAACCTTCAACCCTAAGCCCAAAGTTATCCCCAAACCCTAAACCACAGAACCCTAAACCCAATAACCCTGTACCCCAAAACTCTAAAGCCAAAGCTCCAAAACCGATGAAACCCCAAGCTCTCAACCCAAGATTCTAAGAAACAGTAGAGGATTTAGTTTAAAGTTACGGTGACTGTCTCTTTGTTCGCCTGCCGCGTCGGCTCCTAACTAGGTAGGCCCTATAGGTTTTATATAGGGCTATAGGGTTTAAGATCCTAAAGCCCTGCAAAATAGCACAAGAACCCACACGGGATCTTTGCGGCGGAGGAGCATAGTTTCCTTAGATGGCGGAACGCGGAAAGCACGGCCAGAAGAGTTTGAGCTTGGGGTTTAGGGTTTATGGGGAGCCATATGTGTCGGAGTTTCAGGCTTCAGGTTGACTGAGATTTA